ATATTCAAAAATAAAACTAAGTAAAAATTAATCATCTTCTATTTTCGGGGGTGGAGTGGTACTGGGGTTTGAACTCAGCTAGGCAAGTACTTCAACATTTGAGCCACTCTGCCAGCCCAATCATTTTTTTTAAACACATATTCTATTTTCCAAATTCATATTCTGTGATCAGGACTATGCAGCCAAATGTTCCAGTTAGTGCTCATTTATTGCTACATTCAAATACAACCAAACAAAATGACAGGGAAAAAATGTTATCTAAACTTAAGAGATATCCTTTCATATAAAGCATCCCCTCAAAATGTACCAGGTTATAAAAAAGGAAAATAGCTTCCTTCTCCCTTTTCCCTTGGGCTACACATAATACAAAATATGAAGTTAAGCAAATATTCACCATTTCAAATACTTTATCTAAAAAAGTTACCTGTGCTACAAATCTAAAAGTTGATGAAATTCACAAGAAAATGTGCACTTTTACATATTAGACCAAGCACACTTGGGTATGATTATTATATTTCTGCATTCAAAATGCTATAATTTTTAAAACAACTTCATCTTATAAAGGTGGATCACAAACATAAAATCTCGGCAGGCTGCAGTTCCTCCCCCTCCCCCACCTATACTTAGCTTCTCATCAGGCAGGTAGCTCACAGCTGCTTTACAGACATAAAAACATACCTAGATCAATTTCATTGTTGCTTTTTGAGTATTAGTAAGTTATAGCTACATGCATTTTATATTGTGCCTCAGAGTTAGATTTATAAGACCTGTTTTGCTAATTTGGTAGACATGCCAGTTTAAGCATAAAACACATGTAGACAATGTCTTTGATCAACTGACAAACGAAACGTTGCATATTTTTAGAATTTACAATTCAACTCTCCAATTAATTTTTTTGTTCTAAATGAAACTTTATCATCTTTAAATACTAAGTAAAAGGTTGTTGTGGTCTGAAGATGCTTAATCACTGGATAACAGTGGTTCACACCTGTAATCCTGGTAACGTGGGAGGCTGAGATCAGGCAACTAGTTTGTAAGACTCCATCTCCAAAATAACCAAAGCAAATGGCAAAATAGACTGGAGGTGCAGGTCAAGCAGTAGGAGCACCTACTTTTCAAGCACAAGGCTCTCAGTTTAAGCTCTAGTCCCACCATAAAAAGAAAAGTTACTTAATCAAACCAGATATATTTAATAAGTATAAATTGAGACTAGATAGCATCTGATTCTTTAAATGTGTAGCAAAGGAAACCATAAATAAAAATTAATCCTATATGCATGTAAAAAGAAATATGATGAGAAAAGAATTCTTAAACCAATAGCAAATAAGTTAATAAAATTTCCTCTCCTACCTAAAATGAGTTTAGAAAGTACAGATATAAGCAATATCCCTATTCATTTTTAAACTTTACAAAATTAGGTTTTCTGCTCCCAATTATATAACTGGAAAATTCAACCAGTATTTTTAGTTGTAAATAACCACAATCATACTTAGAGCTTTATTAAAATCAAAACATACAATTTAAACATTTCAAATCCAACAAACGAGCTTTAAGGAAAAAAATCAGACTGACACTTGTAAATACTGTTTCAAAAGTATTTTCCCATGCCTCATCTCATATGTTCCTCTTAGGAAGGCATCAGGAGTCTCATTTAGTAAGGAAAGAAACTGTGTCTTAGCTAGGTAAATGATATGTCCCAAATCAACTATCAAGGGATAAACCTGAAATTAGAACCCCAAGCTCTTAGTTTTCCAAATAGTTTCATTTACTTCTAACTGAAGGACATAGTTAATAAGTGACCTTATTACTGAATCCTAATGTAACACTGTACATGATACAATATTTTTAAGACGAAAAGAAGTAGAGTTGACATATATTCACTGAACATGTATCTCAAAACCAAATGAAAACTTATCATTTTAATAAGCATCAGAAATGCTAATGAACATTGGCTATGGTATAGCATGCCTGTGATCCTAGCACTTGAGAGGCTGAGGCAAGAGGATTGTGAGTTAGAGGCCAGCTTGAGCTACACAGGGAGACTCTATCTCAAAAAAATTAAAAATTAAAAAACACTGTATAATTTTAGTAGTTTCCTTTTGGTTGATGGTGAGATGCACACTTTTTAAATTCACAGTGCCCCCTACTGGTGGCTCAAGAGAAAAACAGAGTCTAATGTAGCAAGCAAGCATCCTTTGTTTGGTGCCTTATCACCTGCATACAAATCCCCTGGAAAACATGTTAAAAATATAACTTCTGTGCAGTACAAAATATCTATGAATATTCTTATTTCAGTAATTCTAGGATAACACTCATAACTTTTCATTTTTAACAAGTTCCCCTACAAACAAGTTGATAATCATTCAGTTAGTTATTAATACCAATGCTTTACTTTCAAAGTACAGTAATCCTGTAAAATGCTCTGGGAAGGTACCATGCCTGGCTTGGGAGTGGGGAGCGTTGGTTTGTTTAATTTTGAGACAGCATCTCCTTATGGAGTCTCGACTGGCTTTGGACTTGCTATGTAACCCATGCTGGCCTCAAACTCTCAATTCTGACCCAGCCTCCCAAGTGCTGAGATTATAGGTGTGGGCCATCACACCCTGCTATGCCTGTTTTACAGGTGAAGAATGAGGCTAAAGACAGTTTTAAAATTTATGTGCTGGGTAGGAGTACATTGTGGCATCTATAAATGTTCTTACAATATATCACAGTTGAATTCACCACCTCCATTATTCTCCTTTATCCCTCACCCCCAATTCCTGGAGTAGTTTCAACAGGTATCATTTTTCCATTTACATACATGTGTACGCAGCATTTGCACCATATTCACCCTTCCCCCTCCCATCCTCCTTCCCCCTCCCTCTGGTACCAATCCAATAGGTTTATAAAGCCATTAATATGCTAATGCACATAAAATGATGGCCCAAGAGGGCAGTAGTGTGTGCAATGTTTCTAAAGTTTTTTGGAACAGAAACACTTCCATCAAGGTACACACTTAATATCTCTAAATGTGTTAGAAATATTAGCCTATAGGATAAGGTGGAAACTGCTCTGCATGGCCTATGAGGCATTCTCTTCCAATCTCCATCAAGTTTTATATATTGCCCAAACCTTCCTCCCTCCGCTGCATACATCCCTACTAAAATTAAATACTAATAGCTCTTCACTGCAATTATAGCAGTCTCTCCTCACCTATAGCAGTTTTAGTTACATAAGGTCAACTGTAGGTCAAAAAACCCCAGTATAGTACAATAAGATATTTTGAGACAGATCACATTCACATAGCTTTTATAACAGTATACTGTTAAAATCGTTCCATTTTATTAATGGTTATAACTGTTAATCTCTTACTGTACCTAGTTCATAAATTAAACTTTATCATAAGTATGAGTATACAGGGAAAAATATAATATATATAAAGTTCAGAACATACAGTCTATGGTTTCAGGCATCCACTGGAGGTGTTAAAATGCATGCTCAGCACAAAAGGGGTATAGTATCTGTTTTAACCTGACTATATGCATTATTTTGACAAGCTATTTATTTGGAGTCAGAGATTGCATCTTATTTACCTTTGGTTCTCCAGTGTCTAGGTATGATGCCAAGTATAGTTGGTGCTTAATAAACAATTGTTGAATAATTAAAGACAAACTTATATCCTTATTTTCTATAAAAAATGGTGTTATAAAGCATGATTCTTATATAACCTAAAGTGAGCAATATTTTAACATAGCCATTTCTCTCTCATCAAGCCACTCTTATTTAATATTGCTTTAAATTATAAAGGGACTATTTGCACTTCGAGATAATATATAATTTGTGCTAGGAGCCATGTTTTAGCTCATTAATAACTTAAAAGCAACAAAATGCTTTGATAACTTTTACTTCTAAAAATCATTTAGGCTGGGTGCCAGTGGCTAACACCTGTAATCTTTGCTACTTGGGAGGCTGAGATGGAGAGGATTGAGGTTCAAGGATAGGCCAGGCAAATAGCTTGTAAAATCCCCATCGTCAAAATAACCAGAGCAAAATGGACTGGAGGTGTGGCTCAAGTGATAGAGTACCTGCTTTGCAAGCACAAAGCCCCAAATTCAAACCCCAGTATCACCAAAAAATAAATAAGCAAAAATCATTTAGACCAATTGTAATTCAAAAGGAGGTAAAAACACCTTTTATATTAACAATGAGATTAAGTTTCCAAAAAATTATTGTTTTCAAAATTCAAATTTCTCAAACATGGACATAGCAGCAGCTATTTATTTATTTATTTTTTAATTTATAAAGAACACAATTTTTCTGCTAGGAGGTGCATAATCTAATTCAGGTAAAGCAATTTTGGTATATGCCAATAATATTGCAAAGTTCAGAATTATAATCCTTTAGTGTCACAAACAAAAGCATCTGTTGTCATGCTATAAAAGTGCTATGATTCATTCTGCATCTTTCTGGCACTATTATTTTCTATATACATTACAAATACTTGAAATCACATACATGTAAATCTCAACTGTTAGAAGACTATGTTGCTCCTCACACTACAATTCAGTTTGTAGAAACTGTACTGGAGTAATTCAATATGTGAAAAAAAATGTTAAAATATTCTTGTTTTAAAGGGGCAGTGATAATTCCTTTAATGTATTTCTTTGATAAGTAATTAACAAGTGCCCACTATGTGCCTGCTGCTGTTCTAAATCTAATATTATAAAATAAAGTTCTTCATGAAGCTAACATCTGGTATATTTTTTCTAGAAAAAGAAAATGCAGAAATAGTCATGTGCTCTAAACTAGAAATAGGGATTATTCTTAAAGTTAATCTAGAAGAAATAGGGCTTTTGCAGATATAATTGGTTAAGTTAAAATGAGGATTAACTAGAGTTGGCCACACCCTCTGTAAAGAAAAAAGCAGGGATTGGAGTGATACATTTACTGAAAGATTCCCAATAACTCTGAGAAGCACTGATAGAAAAGTAATAAAAATGAAGCCTTATAGTATTTACCTCTGAATTCCTTCAAGAATATCTTTCACAGCTGCCATTAACTTCTGAAGATATATAAATGCTTCTTCAAACGATGCTAATTTTGGAGTAATTACAGCTGAACTTGAGGTCAATATCTGAAACACATCTGTGCTAAAATAGAGAAAAAAGAAAGCTCATGGATATATACATATATATATACACACACACACACACACACATTTAGTATTTCAAATATTTCTGTTGCAAGTGTATGAAAAATAATAATAGAATTAAATCTCTTCTAATACTGATCTACTCAAGTTAGAAATAAAAAACAGTGACACGTGGAAGTTGGAGCTAACATTCATGTGTGGGATTTAGGTCAGACACAATACAGATTTAACCTAAAGTAATAATCTCAAAGCTGTGTGGGTAATATTTCATCTAAGAGACCATGAGAGATAGAGAAATAGTAATACTACCAATATACATTCAAGTCAGTACTCAAGAACATAAATATAGGGCTGGTGGAGTGACTCAAGTGGTAAGAGCGCCTGCCTAGCAAGCATAAGGTCCTGAGTTCAAACACCAGTATTGCCAAAAAGAACCTAAAGAAAAAATTAGTTATTGGATTAATATCTATTGAAACTAGAAGCTTATCCTCATAATTCCACTTTTACAAATCTATCATGAATTAGCAATTATTTACAATCAGATAATAATTAGTAATGCTCTCAATGTCTAACAATGTAAGTTTAAGTAATGAATTAGCCACTACTTAATGTTTATTCCATGCACAAAATGAAAAAACAAAAATATAGAAAATTTACTTATATAACATAACAAGATAAAGTATCAAAATATGTTATACTAGTTTTGAATGATGTCTCCCCAAATTCATGTTCACCGAAAGCCTCAAAATGTGACCTTATTTGAAATGGGGCTTTTGCTGATGTAATTACTTAACCTAAAATGAGTACCAACTAGAGTTGGCCCCTAGTAAAGAAAAAAGCAGGGATTGGAGTGATACATTTACTGGGCAAGGATTCCTAGAAGTTAGGACAAAGGCATGGAACATATTTACATTCAGACTTCCAGAATCAGGGTTTGGGTGTAGCTCAAATGGTAGAGCACTTACCTAGCAGGTGCTCAAATGGTAGAGCACTTACTGGGTTCAATCCCCAGTAGCACAAAACCAAAACAAAACAAAGACAAAAAACCCCCCAAAATTGGCCTATTTGGAAATTTAGGTCTGGAAGTGTGGCTCCAAACAAAAGTAGATTAGTTTAAAGCGGTTAGTAATGAGCTTATAGAAAAATTATCAGTGAGTAAATTGTCAAAAACAATTTCCTTTTTATTTTTTTATTGGTTTTGCCTTCAGAGTATTAATAAAATTCTGAGTCAGAGAGAAAATAATGGCAAAAGGTAGTACGATATTTTGTTTTAATTATAGTTTTCAGTGCAAACTCAAAATATAATTTTTTTAAAAGCCTCAGAAGCTTGAATAAGAAATAGCAGAAAAGACTTTTTTGTTGTTGTTGAGACAGGGTTTCATGATGTAGCCTAGGCTGGCTTCCAACTCCTAATCCTCCTGCCTCAGCCTCTGGAGTGCTGGGATTACAGGTAAATTGTGCTACCAATGCCCAGCTGAGATTTTTTTTTTTTTAACCTGCATCACTAGTAGTATGTAGTACTTATCCAAGTTCCTTATAAATAGAAAAGACAACAAAAACCTGATGTGATGTACTGTATAAGTGACCAGGGCAAGAAGGTAGCATGTACTTGTACATAAGCACTCTAGTAATTTTATAGGAGTAATTATCCATACATCCTACCAGACCTTCAAATCAGCATTTTTACATGAAAAACCCAAGCATAATTATGTTGAATAAGTTCCATAGTGACTCTGATATATAACCAGGCTTGTGAAACAATGAAGTAGGTTTAAATAAATATTAGTAAGTCAATATAAGCACTTTCCACTTACTAAAAATGCTACAATATAAAGTCTATTATCCACAAAAAACACAGAACTAGTATACAATACAAATACATGAATATTATAGGTCAACTCTAAATGCAAAGCACTCAAAAGTTTTCTAAGTGGAAGAAAGATTCTAGTATCTTAGACAGGATTTGAACCTATTTTATTTTAAAAACAGTAATCTCTATATGACACACAGATTAACTTTCTGCAAGTTAATCAGAATCTCTGATCAACCCAAAATCTCAAAAATATGTTGAGTCTGGAAAAAAAAAACCTTTGCTGCACATAAAAATATAAATTTGTAAATATACTCCTCAGTTCACATGCTATGCGCAGTTATGTTTTTAGCATGAGAGACTAGCAAGGCAGCTCAAAGGCTATAAATTTGTTGGAAAAAATTAATAACCAGACACTATCACAATGTTGTAATAAACAGCCAATTGTGAATAGGTGTTTAAGCAGAGTGCTAATACTACTCTGCTGTATTTGTGAACATCTAAAAAAAAAAATGATCTAGCCAGGCACTGGTGGCTCACGCCTGTAATCCTATGTACTCAGGAGACAGAGATCAGGAGGATCGAGGTTCAAAGCCAGCCCAGGCAAATAGTTCATGAGACCCTCTCAAAAAAACCCATCAGATAGGTAGGGTCTGCTCCCCTTGTCAGCTTGAAGCAGATTCATAAGAAAAGAGAACTCTAGCCCCGCAGCAACCTTAAAAAGAATCTTTCGGGATATTCTCTCTCAGGGGGATTTTTGAGGCAGGCTAGAATTAGGGAAAGCTCAGGACTCATATATGTATGTACGTTGCACACGTTTGGCTGAGGGATACCCAGACCACCCTCACCTGGCTGGGAACCACCCCTGCCCTGCCCCACTCATTGATCACTAGATGGGAATCACCTGGTTCCTCCCTTCCTCCCATAGATTAGTGTAAATTTTAAAAGTTTCTGAGAAAGTAAAGCACTCTCTCTGCCAGCAGATTCAACCTGCACGCACCATGCTCCTTCTTGTATTTCCCTTCCCTAACATTTAATAAACTCCCTTAACACGCCCCCTCCCCTCCAAAAAAAAAAAATCACAAAAAAGGCCCTGAGTTCAAATCCCCAGTAGCACTAAAAAAATAGATTTAATCCAAAACAAGAGTCACACTGGACCTTAAACCAAAACCATACTATATCCCATTAGCTTGATAAATTGATTATATAAAAATTATGGGATTGGAAAAAGTACAGGTGAGAGTGTTCACCTACTTTAAAATCAGTGGTTTAAAATTATTTTGTAAACTAGCCTATTAGAAACCTATTTAAAAAAACTACTCATGAATGGCTTCTATCTCTCTTCATTTTATTAAGACTAAAGTATTTTATGGTCAGGTGTATGAATAGTAGTATTTTTTCCTTTTAACCAAAAGTAGTTATACAAACTTTCTCTGATCCAGACTGATATTTTCTTAGTTTATTTTTAGTTTTATTAAGGCTTAGTAACCTGATAATTTGATTAACCAAACTAGGTGACTTTTTATTGGCTTTAATATATACAGGCAATGCTTCTCATTAAGGTTTCACATCTGAATCACCTGAAGAGTTTTTTTTGTTTGTTTGTTTTTTTAATGTACTCAGTTTCAACTCAGTCCCACTGAGCTCTGGGAATAGAGCTTGTCTGCAGGAAAAAGCAGTGGTGGAGCATAGCTACTCATATACCCTTAACTGAAGACCAGTCCTCTTCCTCTTCTACTATGGAAAGTTGTCCTCTTCAGACATGGAATGATAAAGAGGAAGGGGACACCTGCTTAGCCAGCCAGATCAGCCAAAATCAACACTATTGATCAATGGGGTGACAGATGTCACAGCCAGATCACCCTCACATCCACATATATGTATTTAAAACTCTCCAGGTAATTCTGGTGTTTACTCTTATTTAAGCATTGCTCTTTCTAAGTTACTAGTTTGACAAAAGGCCCTCAGTACAAACATCCAGCACATTAAACTCACAATCCAAACATTAACTATTCAATAAATAATAGTAATAATGGAAAACCAAGAAAAGCAAACTTTTAAGGCCAGAGTTAAAAAATTCTTGGAAAATTAGTACCTGTCCTGATATATTGTAATCCAAACATTCTCTAGGATAGACCAGATTTCTTGATGCCTGTTGGGTTGGGTAGGATGAGATTCTGAGAAAACAGTGATTTCTTGGTTATGAAACTTCATCAAAGAAGTGTCTTCCTGATTTTTAATCACTGTAGTTTCTGGGGAATCTGGCTTAAGTTTTGTCTTGATCTGGGGAAATAAGAATTACATAAAATGCAGCTAGTCCTTCATTAGTAAATGAAAAAACAAAACAAAACAAAAAACCCGGAAGGTCGGTTGTGTTTACAAATGTACTAGCTTTCTTGGAAGTACTGGCTAGTGTTTTCTTTTATTATGTATACAATATTCCCAGAAAAGTATCAGAGCTAGAAAAGATATTTTCTATTTAAATCAAATATTTCCAATCTATTTATTACAGTGACCTTTCTTAGCTAACATGCTAATGTTAACTTAAGAATATTGTTTGAACATTTTTACACATATAATTTTGAACTAGAAAGAGGGCACAAGATAAATAGTTTTAAGTCTCAAAGCAATTTGTAATCTAGAAAACAACTAGAAAGGGCTGCAAAAGGCTTTAAAAAAAAGTCAAACTATAACTTAGACCTTAAGTTATGAGCAATGGTGAAACACTGCTGAAGGTTTCTTTTTGATTGTGATATGCTCAGAACTGCACTCTAAGACAGAACAGAAAAAAAAAAAAGCTTAGGCAAGAAGTCTAGTTAGGAGGCTACTGAATAATCTGGAGAAGGAGTCCTAAGAACTTGAATTATATATCAAAAGGCAGTGGTAATGGGTGTGTGTGTGGGGGGAAATGCATGCAAGAAATATCTTAAAAGATTCTGTCAAGAGTTATAGATTTAGGGAGTTAAGGAAGACTCTTAAGATTTTTTTATTTTTTACTAGATGTCTAGAATAATAGTAGTACAATTAATACAAATTAAGGATGATTATGAATTTTAAAATGTGTGTGTATGTGTACGATTTCAACAGACTGAATTCTCTTGACTGTTCCTCCACAGGAATGTACAGACAGTTTTTCAGCCTTTGAAAAAACACATCTCAGATGCAAACAATGCAATTGATGGAAATGCTATTATAATGTACCACATTCGTTGCAACTGTAAACACATTAAACTATGCATTGCTGAGAAGCAACAATACACTGAATATATTATAATCAAAAAGCAATAAACCATTTAAAGTACATTTATCTGTTCCAAACTTTCCTCTAGTAAAGCCAAGAAAGGTTGTCTAAAGACTGAAAAAAAAAAGAAAATATAAGTTTGTTTTTAGATATATGTTGACTTTAAGGTATAAAAAAGATATCTAACTGGTAACTGCATGTGCAGAAGCTTAAAAATATAGTTCAGAATCATTTTTATGAAGACAAGTCTTAGAAGTACATGAGAATAAAGCAAGAAAGAAGAAAGCAAGCAAGAAGGGAGGGAGGGAGGGGAGAGAAAGAGAAAGAGAGGGAGGGAGGGAGGAAGGAAGAAAGGAGAGATAAAGGATAGAAAAAAAGGGAGAAAGGTGAGAACTAGCAAGAATTAAATAGAAGAATCAGAACTATACAAAAGCAATGAGACCAAAGGAGATAGGTTTCATGAAAAGAGACAAAGACAATGTAATAAATAGAATGGCCAATGAAAAGTATTTAAGAAGTGATCTAAGCATATTTTATGGCAAAGTAAAAAAGACAGACTACTGATTCACGTGATCAAATGATTTTTGTGAAAAATTCAAGAGAAAAAATCATTCGGAAAAAATACTTACTATGGTTATTAAACTGACAGAATGGAAAAATTTTTAGCTATGAGTTTAAAACCTGGATTTTGGACTTGGCTCTACTATAACATGCTTTATGAATTTCAGTAGAATTACTCCATTTCTCTAGGGTTAAATTTGCATGCTGACAGAAGGATGATTTTAAATGTTAGCTTCATGGGTTGCTAGTTTTATGCTAGTAAATTTAAAAAATTAAATTTCTAATACTACCAATAATAATAGTTAATATTTATGAATGAGACTGTGTTATGTACAGGAGCTAAGGATTTTACATTAACTCATTTAATTCTCATGATTAAATAAGACTATGAAACAGAACAGAAACCCTCTGACACAGATGCTATGATTCCAATTTTATAAGGGAGGAAACAGAGAGAAAAGCTAAATAACTCATGTAAGGTTATTCAGATAATAAGAGGAATGAACAGGATTTCACCTTCGTCAGTCTATAAGTGATGACATGATCTCATGCCTAGTGTTAGTATTACCCTCCCTATCTTCTGGGGCAGGAACCAAAAAATATTATTCTCCCATTTTTGACTATTAGTATTAAATTGTGAGTTTAATATACAAAACAGAATGACACCTTTTGTCCCGAGATACTATTTTTTTTTTTTGGCAGCGCTGAAACCTAGGGCCTTGTTCATGCTTGCTAAGCATATACTGAGCTATACACCTTCAGCCCAGATGATTCTTTTTTAATCACTACATACATCTGCATGTTCAAAAATATTTCCTATGTGTTTTTGATGCATGTGAGACTCACTGGTCTAGGACACTGTAGATAAACAGCTGAATAACAGTGCACTGCTTTCTCTTATCTATAAAGGAAATATGATAAAACCCCAAGAACTGCAGGGTACACTGACATATTTGCCTCTAATCCCAGCTTCCAAGATTACAGTAGGACAACTGTAAGCTTGAAGACAACATATTGGGAACTTTTCTCAAAAATGAAAGAAAGAAACTGTGTGACACTATTTCCATAAAAGGATGTGAGTTTCATCACTCATGGTCAGAGTTGCTTACACTCCATTCAATTTACTTAATATTGACTGAATGCTTTTAGTATGCTAGAATAAGTTTAAATTATATTATCCTTTACCTATTCTTGTCTGCTACATATATTTTTGGAATGTATGCAATCACCATTCTAAATGGCATTCCAAAGGTATCTTACCTCTGCAAATGTTTGCAGCAGTTTGTTCACTTGAGTGAAGGTCTGTGGAAGAATACCATCATAATTTGACCTTGTACTAAAAGCATGTAACAAACTTTTAGAATCCTCAAGTAGAAATTTCACTGTTGTAAAATTCACCGCATTATTAGCTGGCAAGAGAAAAAAAGGAAAGAAAGATATTTAAGGAGTATACAAGGTCAAGCATGGTGGCTCAAGGCTGTAATCCTAGGTATTCAGGAGGCAGAAAAAGAGAAGATTGTGGTTCAAGGCTAGCTTGGGCAAAAGGTTTGTGAGATCCCCCATTTCAACCAATGGGTAGGTGTGGTGGTACATTCTTGTCATCCCTGCTATGGGGGAAGCACAAATAGGAGGATCACGGTCAGGTCTATCTGGGCATAAAATGAGACCCTAACTCAAAAATAATTGAAAGCATAAAGGGTTGGAAGCATTGCTCAAACGTAGAGCACCTGTCTAGCAAGCATGAGGTCTTGAGTTCAATCTTGAGTATTGCCAAAAAAAGAAAAAAAAAAAAAGAGTATACAACACAAAAATCACTTTGAAAGCATGAAGCTTGGAGTTTAAACTCTAGTACTGCCAAAAACAAAAACGCTACAGAACACTAATCGATGTTTAAAATTTAAGAAGAGTACACATTTATACCTACATGCCACGCCTAATTTATTCTCAAGCAACAATTATGGACAAAAGTCCTTCAAGTTAACTCTAGGATTCTGTTTTCAGATTCTAGGAGTTCCCTCAACATGATCAACCTCAAAGCAAAAGAAAATAAAACAATATTACCCTCTTAATAAAAAAAGGGATAATCACTAAACAAATCAAATTACAGACTTAGAAAGTTGAGGTTATTTCCCATTCAGACCACTATTAAGGAACCAGAAAAGTCACATGTTAGTGGCAAATACGTAAGGTAGATGTGGTTCCTGTCACAACTTAGTTATCACACAGTGATTTATCTTCAGTTCCATCGCATTAAACTTAATACTAGGTTTACTGAAGACAAAGTGTTCTCTCTGTGTATACACAAAACTTAAGCAAAATATAAAGAATTTGGTACAAGAAGGGGAAGGCAAAAGAAGGAAGTTAAAGAGGTGAATAAGGTTGATATACTCCCTTATCCAAGAATGAATATAGAATTTTTAAACGAGTTGAAGTCACTGTAAGAAAGGGACTAAGAAAGAAGAAAAATAGAGGAGATGAACCAAATCAGGCTATCACTCTCACACACACACACACACACACACGGAAATGCCACAAGGAAACTCCCTGTGTAGCTATCTTAAACAAGCAAAAATGCCATTTTTTTTTTCTTGTATAAAATTGGAGAACAGGAGAGCAGAACAGATCCTGCCTAGGGAATTGGGACCAGTGGGAGGGGGGAGGGAATGGGGAGGAAATGGTGAAGGAGGGTGAATATGGTGCAAATACTGTGTACACATGTATGTAAATGGAAAAATGAGACCTGTTAAAACTGTTCCAGGAATGGGAAGAGGTAGGGATAGGAGAATGGTGGAGGGGGTGAATTCAAGTATGATATATTTGATATATTGTAAGAACTTTTGTAAATGCCAGTGTACCCCCACCCAGCACAACAATAAAAAAATAAAATATGTATTTGCTGGGACCTAAATATGTATATTCACAGTTTCAGAGACCTATCTTCTTAAACATGAGGATGGATTTTCACTGGCACTACAAGTTGAAAATAAAGCATTCTTTTGTGTTACTTACACAACAAGAACTTGCTTGTGAAATTCTGAAGGGCTAAATAAAATTTCAAAGGTCATTTTAATAATTAATTCAAAATATTCAAAAATTCTAATTTAATGGGATGGGCACAGCCAAGCCTCTAGCTTCCCCCTTACCCAAATACACACACAAAAAAGAACCTTATGTTTCCTTACAGACACTTTCAGTTCGTTTTAAAGCCAATGACTACATTCCTGGGGGAAAAGAGATGAGAGATGCTACACATGGCGCAGACTGTACAATCAGTCTCCTCAGGAAGAGCTAACTGGGCAGAGTTCTTCTATAGATGCTTCTCCAACATAGTCTGTTTAATAGGGCTTTTACCCTTGAATTAATCATTTTATTTCTCTCTTACAAAGACAGAAAGCTTTCTTTCACTAAGATTATGAGGCAAAGGGAAATACATAGATACAACAACAAAAAAGAAATCTATATGGAGGAAATGGTTTAATGCTTACATAAGGTCAGTAACTATTTAAAATTAATATGAATAACAAAATCATAAAAAGTTAGCATTTTCCATGCATTTTCTGGGAACTGATGTAAGGATGCATGTTTGGTATACTGAAGTTAAACACATGCATGTAATTCAACAGCCAAGAGTAAAAGAGTTAAACAAAATCATAAACTCCAAGTTTTCTAATTAAAAATTATCTTAGAGCAGGAGGTACTTCTACAATCCTATCACATAATCTTCACATCTCTCAACAATAGGCATCAGTCTGGATCTAGGACCAATAAACTATGCACACAGCAACTAAAAAAAAATAACTTTTGGTAGAAGATATAGTCATATCTCCATTTGTCTCCATACTGCTAGTCAGAACGTCACTAACCACCTCTGTGCCATTTTTAAGAGCGTAACATTGCTCAACACTGGGAAGACAAACAAGATGACATCTAGAAATCCATTCTTTTTTAAAATTTATTTTTATGGTATTGGGGTTTGAACTCAGGGCCTTGCACTTGTTAGGCAAGCACTTAATTGCTTGAGCCATGCCCCAGCTTCAGACACTCCACTTTTGAAACTATCCTTCAATATCTGTTTATTGCCTTTCTCTTTTAAAAGACTAAATTATACTTCTAATGAAAGTAATGAAAAATCATTCTACATGTTTAGTAAAAACTGCTTTGAAGACATGTCCAGTCAATTGTTCCATGTACTTTACATAATACCCCCAATAAACAAATAACTTCTATAGTTTTAAAAAATGCCATGTTCTTTCCTTAAAAACACTGGTAACCAGGAAGTGAGAGTGAGGGGGTAGGGGGATGGGGGAAGGTGACCCAAACAATATATACACATGTGAGTAAATGTAAAAATGATTAAAAAAATTGGTAACTTCTAACAATAAATACTTATTCAACCTCTATCACAGGTAAGATGTAAGGGACAGGCAGAACTTCCTTAAGACACAAAATATGTTGAAAGAGTTTCCACATCAGGTGAAAAGACAGAATGATGTATACCTGCCTATATGGCTTTGTGGAGTTTGTTTTGTTTTTTGGTTTTAGTTTCCAGGAAGCTTATTAAAATTTGTGCTCAAGCATAGCAATGTTATTTGTATCTGTTTACTGGTAGATGTCTCTTTTTCTTCATTATCTAGCTTTTGTGATTTTAAACCTAACTTAATGGTTCTCTTGAACTTGGATATGTCACTACAGTTATGCATAAGCAATACATAAAACAATAAACAGAATACATTGGTTCATGTGAGAAGTTTGAAAAAGGTCAAGAAATAACTAACTGGACCCCAAATAATGGCCATACTTTGTCCTTTACAGGTATAGCAACACAAATCTAGTTACTTGACTCTGGATAAATCACCATCTCAGGGTTAATTTCCTGGATCCAAAAAGTTTTAATAACATTAGTTTAGTGCTTTTCACACTTTTTTCCTCCTTAGCAAAGAAAATCTTTTTTTCAGCTCCAACATGGAGTTGAACAGATCAAAACAACAAGAAAAAATTGTCCTGGCTAAAGTCAGGATTGAAAATCAAAGGCACCAAATACCAGGCTCCCCTCATCATTCTTCTATCCGTGGCAGCAGACACCTTCAAGAAACCGAAGTTTCTGTTCAATGTAGTTTAAAAACCACCAACTCAGTGATTCACTTTGGTCTCCAATTCTAAATTCACTATGCACCAAGGTTTCCTATTCTTTCTCCAAATAGTTTAGACAGAAACCTTGATATACTTAGTACATGAAATGTGCTCAAAGTATGTATATTAAACACAATGAGAATGCGATGGTTCATGCCTGTAATCTTAGCTACGCAGGAGGCAGAGCTCAGCTGGATCGAGGCTCAAGGCAGCCCGGGGAAATAGGTCTAGAGACCCTATCTTGAAAATACCCAACACAAAAAAAAGGCTGGTGCAGTGCCTCAAGAGACAAAGTGCCTACCTAGCAAGTATGAGGCCCTGGGCTTAAATCCCAGTACCGCAGAAAAAAGAAAACCACAGTAAGAAATGAAAGAACGTTAATTCTACTTGAATGCCTGAATAGACTGGAAAACAGTTTAAAAGTTTTCAAAGTGAACATTATTAAAATTTATATATTCACAATTTCCAGGAACATCAATACCATTTATAGGCATAACCACTGAAGACTGTATCTAGCTGCTACAAATTCCCTTTAGAAATTAGAAGTATCAATAATTAAGACAAATTTTTCATTAATTTCATCTTCATAGCCCATAGAATAAATATATCTACTGTTTTGACTTATTATTTTAATACACAGTTAAAGAAAAAAATAAAATATTCATACCTTTAGAGAGATTTTCATATAGGCTCTCAACAGTTAAAAGCAACTTCTTTTCCATAACTAATCCAAATACAGCCAACCAATGTTTTTTAAAACACTGTAATAAATGTGTCAGAGTCCATGGTGGCTTCAAATACAGCATCTAAAAAGTATTTAAAAAACTTATCATCTGTGGATTGATACTCCTATTACTTAAACATATCTATTTGAGAATAAGAACATATATTTCCAGTGAAAATGTATTTAACTGAATTATTCTTATATTAAAAAATGTTTTATTATAAAGCTAATTAATCATAATCTTAAAAGGCTAATTTCACTATAATTTGCTTTTGTAAAATTTACATTATCATTTCAGAAACTATAAGCACAAAAGGAAAGCATAGTTGTAATTAGAGAAGAACTTGTTTTAGTAAGAAAGGTCTCCCAATCTACTTTTTAAAATATGGTGATTTCCATGAGGAAATCAATCTAATTACTTCATACAACTTCAGGGGGATCTATACATAAAACAATTGATAAACATAATTGCCACTTCCCATGCTTTTAAAAATATTTTAAAATTAGGATATATTCGTTGTACAGAGCAGATTCATTGTGATAACTCTAAACAGGCTTTTATAAGGTTAGATTGCACCCACCATCTCTTCCCCTTGACTCCCTTCCCACCCCACTTCAATCAATTAAAAATACGGAACATTTCACGAATTTGTGCGTCATCCTTGCACAGGGGCCATGCTAATCTTCTCTGTATTGTCCAATTTTAGTATATGTGCTGTAGAAGTGAGCACACTTTCCACACTCTTCCAAAGACATATTTAAAAAGAAAACTGATCATTTAGTTCACTCGTCCTTTTTCTGAATCATTCACATTTCTATTATAAAAATATTCAATTTAAATCAGTCCTTCTATAATCTTCTGATCATGCTTCATCATCTTGGTTCAACACCTAATAATACAATCAAGTACCAAACATACTGGCAAATATTAGAATTTCACTGAACAGTTGGACTAAAGATATAAGATATACAATTGATGGGCTAAAACATTTCTCCTAGCTATAAATGCAAAGGTCAAATGAATATTAATCTGAGTTTTTAAGATCACTGTTGCTAAATCTAGTACATTATGGAAATGTAGAAAAGGTATAAACCTAAAGAAAATCCAAAATATCTTGCTTATATGATTAGTTTATATATTGATTCTCATATTAGCATGGCATAAGCCAAAATACACAATCTTTTTTCTGAATACATATTATTTTAGGGGATTCCTTATATCAGACATTTTGACTTAAACCAAATTAAATGAGCACAGTTTTTCTGGATTCAATTTAAGCTCCAGGGGGGCAATATGTCTAACACACAGTAGATTCTCCATAAATACTTGATTGAAAAGATGACTATATAGTTATAATTTGTAAGAAATGTTGGGCTGGCAGAGTGGTTCAATTGGTAGAGCACCTGCCTAGCAAGTGCAAGACCCTGAATTCAAACCTAGTACGAAGGGGGGATAAAAAGTCTATCTATTTGTCAAAAGTTATATAAAAAACCTGGAGAAAAACTGAATGTAATATAGATTATTATAATGAAGCTTATTCATTTTATACAAGATTCCTTCAAGACAACAAATCTTTAGGAATAGAAATTTTTAGCTAATAGAGTTGAACTAATTACCTCCATCCAAAGGTTTCCAAAAGCAATTTTCATTTCTGTTTCTAATATTGAAGATAAGGCTGTTCCAAGAGATTTTTCAAGATCACATAGGATGTGTTCAAGTAGAATGGATAGTCCAGAATTTGTAGACTCTTCCTGAGAGCACTCTTCTGGCGATGTTGCTTCTTTAAAATACATAGTTACAAGTTTTACTTAAGGGTTTTTGCAAAAAAGGGAACTAAATATTTTTACTCAAATGGAAATATCAAAAATCTGTATAATATTTTAACTATGATTTAATTTTTTTATTTTTAAAATGAAGAAGAGGCAAGAATGTGTTGGACTTATTTACAATAGAAAACCAAAAAAGTATGCATCAAAATGAGTTTTCTTCCAAAAACAATATGAATCTCTAAACTTAGTCCACATTAATAAATTGTTTTGTAAGGACCAAAACTTCTAGCTTAACTACCTGTATGCACTTCCCCTTTTAAAAAGAGCTTTTATTATTTTAATTGATATCATTTCATCTCATTATCATTACTTTTTTTTTTTTTAGGAGAAAGCAAAGCTCTATTAAGATGCCATTAAAAGGAGAGAGAATGGCAGGTGGCTACACAAAGGATCATAGTACTACCATTACTAAATATACATTAAATTGCATTGAAAACAAATGCAATTTTCTTATGTCAACATTCAAAATACTGCACCGGGTGCCAGTGGTTCATGCCTGTAATCCTCAGGAAGCAGAAATCTGGAGGATCACAGTTCTAAGCCAGCCCAGGCAAAAAGCTCACGAGATCCTCTCTCGAAAAAGCCCATCAAAAAAAGGGCTGGTGGAGTGGCTTACATGGCAGAGCACCTGCCTAGCAAGCATGAAGCCCTGAGTTCAAATCCCAGTGCTGCTAAAAAAAAAAAAAACGTGAAAATATTAAGTGGCTTAGCTCTACAAATACAAACTAAGGATTTAAAATGACAGTACTATAATGGGCAAACAAAGTATATTACCCCTGAAAAATATCTTGTTGTTCCTCTCAAATATAATTTTGAACATTATGACAAAAGCTGTGTTTTTCCAAAAAGGACAAACAAGTAGCATGTGTGTATGCACGGGTATTTATACAACTGATATAAGAAGTACACCTGATATTAAAGACTTCAAGAATTATCTTCCTCACAGAGGGAACAGGTGGGATGTGTTTATAAATAATTTATTTAACATAATATTCCATCAATTATCAAGCCAGCAATTATACTGGTTTTTTAAAAAAAGATAAGACAACAGTATTGCCCTTACCTTTTTAAGTAAGAAGTTTAAAATTTAAAAAAAATTTTTTCTATAGCCCTACAACTTTCTCAATTAGTACTAGCTAAGTTTTTAACTGCGTTAATAAGGAGATCATAAATACAAAGCTAATTTTAAAAAGATACTAAAAACTGTCTTATTTTCAAATGAGTATCTCCTATAGCTACTGGCAATTTAAAAGATACACTTTTCAAGGTACATATTAGCATGCAAAGAGTATTATAAATATGTAAAACTGCATGTGAGTATATATGGATAAGAATCAAATTGATTTATAAAAGTATATATGCACGGAAATAATGTTGTGTTTGCTTTTGTATTATCATTATAATTTTCACTTAATCTATGCCAGCAAGTATTTTGAATTTAATGCTATTTTAAATGTACAAGATGAAAATTTACGATTAATTCCAAAAAATGTTATTAACAATCTTAATGCATAAAATATGTTTCTAATTATTCATAGTAAAAATACTACCTGCTTTCAACTGTTGCTTAGAAATACAAGGCTGATGACATTTATCTGTGTTCAGAGATAAGTTTAATAACTCTGCACTCAATTCTTCTTTACTGAGTGACTTCACACCACTTATTAGGCCTTTGCTTCTTAAATTTCTATCATCCCTAAGGTTAGGGTTAGGAGGAAAAAATATTTTTTTTATAAGATAAACTATATGGCAACTCAAAACACAGGGGATCTAGTCAGAGGTTGGTGATTATCAGCATATATATTAAGAAAAGTTAAATTAAAAAAAACAGGAGATGATAAAGGAATTTATATGCAGTACAGTCACATTATATGACCTTTTGAGAATAACTATAATTATCACTTCCTTAGTACCAGGCACCATTATAAATGCTTTACATATATTAATCTGTTTAATCCTCCAACAAATCTCTGAGGTAAAAGTGCTTTTTCCTTCTTTCCTTCTTGTCTCCCTCCCTCCCTCCCTCCCTCTGTGTGCTGGGGATGAAACCCATGGCCTTGCACATGTCAGGTAAGTGCTCCACTTCTGAGCTGCATCCCAGCCCTGAAGTGGCATTAATTTTATCCCCATTTCACAATTGGAAACCTGAGATGTAAACAGCTTAATTTGTCCAAAGTTATACCCCTAAGTAGGAAATGGGTTTAAAGAAAGATCTGATCACCCAAGGAGAAATAAACATAAAGAGCTATAGTATGGAAATAATCCACACAGGACAATTACAAATTGACTCAGAATGAGCTTAAGACAAATAGTGTGAATTCTGTTTGCTGAAAGAAGTCAGTATGACCAGAATATAGAGCATGAGAGCAGTTTTTGAAGTTACAGAGAAAGGCAAGGGCATTAATAAATGAAAAGATAGTAAGAGGCTCAATGGGAGAAGTGAGATGATCAGCTCTGTGTCTGTTAAATTGTTGGCCTGGAACCCAGCAGGCTTCCCAGTTTCTGTTTATGGCAGAGGTCAGATAATCTTTCCTATCTGTAAGAATGATAAAATCTGGACAAAAGGGAAAATATAACTCTCTGAAGTTATGAGAGAGCAGTAACACACAGGCAGAAACTAAAGGGAAGTCTACACTTAGGACATACAAACAGCACTAGTGAAAGCTGTAAGTTTCTATCTTTTTGCCCGAGGGCAGCACTCAATTCATCAATGCCTTTGACAACAGAAACCCAAAGCCTTCATGATATGAAATGTCAGAGAACCATGTATATAGCTGACCAGAATAGCTAGAAAGTTAAGGGAAAAACCAAAGAGAACAAACTATAGCAAGTGAGCCCACAATATGCATAAATGATTCTGCCCCAAGAAACAACACACTGACAAGAGACAAGCAATCAACAGAACCAGACTGCGATACCGAAGAGATACTGAAGCTATATGACAGGGAATTTAAATAAATTTCAAGCCAGGAATGGTGGTGCATGCCTATATCCCAGCACTCCAGAAGGTGCGGTAGGATTCAAGACGAACTTCAGCTATTTAGCAAGATTCTCTCTCAAAAAACAAAAACAAAACGAAAAGGTTACATGTATACTGAACATGAACAGACTTTTTTTTTATCATTATTCCTTAAACAACACAGTATACCAACTATTTACATAGCATGTACGATGTATTAGACATTGTGAGATGGGCACAGGCTATATGCAAACATGAAGTCATTTTATAGGAGGGACTTGAGCACTTTGGTATATGCAGGAGTGTAGGAACCAATCCCCCACAGATACTGAGAGCCAGCTGTATATGCCATCTGCCAGAAGCTTAATTTAAATAATGACATAAGTTAAAAGTAAAAGGATGCATTTAAGAGATATCCCATATAAATACTAAACAAAATGTTTTTGGTTTTTTTTAATTTTTTTTTTTTTGGCGGTACTGGGGCTTAAGTTCAGGGCCTCACACTTGCTAGGCAGATGGGCTGCCACCCACCAGCCCTTTTTGCTTTGGTTATTTTTGAGATAGGGTCTCATAATGCACCAGGCCAACATGAACCAGGATCTTCCTATTTATGTTCCTGTGTAGCTGGGATGACAAGCAGGCACCATGCACTGCTTTTATTGGTTCAGAGGGGGTATGGTGAACTTTGCCTGGACTGGCCTAAAACCACTATCTTCCCAACATCCACCTCCCAAGTAGCTATGATTATAGGCTTGAGCCCAGCCAAGGGCTCATTTTTGATGATGATAGCTTAAAATGTCTTTGAGTGGCAGGTAAAGCTATCAAATAGGTGGGTGTACTCGTATGGAGTTTAGAAGAACAAACTTATGATTGTAAAGCACTTAGAATGATACACAGTACATAATGTAGAAGTTTTTCCTATTATCATCATCCACTGATAAAAACTACAAACATCATCATCATCCTTTCAAGTATAAGTGCATTCTTACAACAGTAGCTATGACTTGTACAGTACACATGATTACCACCATTTAAAGAAAAAACAAAGAACAAACCAAGAACAGAGAAAAGAAAAAGCAAAGAAAAAAGGAAAACACAGGTTTACTACCTAGAACACAACAATGCCAGAATGAAAAGTAAGGTTTGGCTATAAATTTCCTTTTCTCTAAAATGGTATTTCTGTTAATCCCCAAACAATGACTACACAAATAACAGAGAATTAATAGTCTCAAAACTTTCCTTCTAAGGTGAACTAAAAGCATAATTATATTACAAAAGAATCCTCAAATTTAAGTTTATCAAATTCAAATTGGTTTAGTTATTTCTTGTATTTCAGCCTTCAACAAACTCTGAGGTAATATGTCTTAGATCAAAACAAAATTAAACCTTAGAGATAGCAATCTCCAGTATATAACAAAAAGAGTAACAATATCTTTGAAGATAACTAAATGATATTAACCAAGCTTCTTTGCAAGTACGATCATAAAATTAAAAATTCCTTATGCAGTGAGTAAAGTTTAGACTAAAACTGCAAATTAAAATTGCTTCTTCAGAGCCTTTTCTCATACATGCTTGCTTAACATCATCTTAGGTTTTTTTTGTTGTTTATTTGTTTGGTGGGACTGGAATTTGAACTCAGGGCTTCATGCTTGCAAAGTAGGCACTCTACTGCTTGAGCCACACCTCCAGTCCATTTTATGCTGGTTATTTTGGAGATACGGTCTCCAGAATTATTTGCCCAGGCTGGCCTAGAACTGTTATCCTTCTGATCTCAGTCCCCCAAGAAGCTAGGATAGGATTACTGGCAAGAGTCATGGGCACCCAGTAGCATTACATTAGTTTTATTCTAGAACTAAGTTATGAAAACATTAGTGGGGAGAGGAGGAGGAGGGGAAGAGAACAAAAGAAAGTTCCTATCAAGATTTGACCATAAGCCAGACATGGTGGCTCATGTCTATAATCCCAACTACTTGGGAGGTGGAGAGGAGGAACAAGGTTTGAGGCCAGCCTAAGCAGAAACTTAAGCAAGCCAAGTGTGATAGTGCATGACTATAATTCCAGCTTACACAGTAGGCCATAGGTAGGAAGGCTGCTGTCCAAGGCCAGCTGTGGGCAGAAACTCAAGACCCTCCTTGAAAAATAACTGAAGCAAAAAGGGATAGGGGCATGGCTCAGGTGGTAGCACACCTGAGCATACTTAGTAAGCACACAGCCCTAAGTTCATACCCAAAAACAAACAAACAAACAAAATAAAACCTAGTACCTATGAACTAGGTACTATTCTAAATGCTTTGCATATACTATCTGATTAAATATTCATAATAGTCTTATGAAGCAACTATTATTCTCCCTCCTTATCATACATGAGAAAGCTAAGTTAGACAAACTATCACACAGACCCAGAACTCAAAACCAGGCAATCTAAATCCAAACAAACATTCACAATAGAACTGGAACATAAAGAACTCCTTCCCCATGAATAAGTAAATAAATAACAGTCTACTTACCTCACCTAACTAAAAAATTCTGTCAGAGTTTGATACTGAGTTTTCCCTTGTTTCTTTCAAGTTTTATGAATAATATCCAAATTCAATAGAAATGAAATTTCATCTACTAAAGACCTCAGGCGTCTATAGCTCAAACACTGTAAGAATATTGGATATAACTGAGTATGCTTACTGGTAGATTTAAACAATAATTATGCATTTGATCCTTCTTCTGATGGATACAACATAATTTTTAAAAATTCTTCAGCATAAATTGCTATTTAAAAAAAAAGAATAAAATGACTATGGAACTCACGTGCACAGAATAACAAGAGAGCACGGGCATAATTCCTGGTACTGAAGACAGCACTTTAATACTCGGTCATCATTGTTCTCATCACTCAATCCATCTGCAAATTTAACAAAAATAACTGTCAAGAAATGCATGAGAAATCTGAGCCTCAATTGCACAATTGAGGCTGTGTTTACAAATCAAAAAGTCTGCAAGATTTAGGGCAGTAAACCACTCTGTATGACAGTATAATGGTGGATACACTCGAAAACACCGTATTTAGAGATGTACAGGGAAGAAAACATGGGTTCTAGACAAAGAACACAAAAAAGTAACTTTTTTTTTGGAGGGGGGGCAGTACTGGAGTTTAAACTCAGGGTCTCACACTTGCTAAGCAGGTGCTCTACCACTTGAGTCACTCTACCAGCCCAAAGTAACTTCTGATAAATGTTAATCAGTTACTGAAAGGGTATCCTCTGACATTCTTGAAGCCCTAAAATACATAGTAAAAATTCGGCTTTTGTGAAAATAATGTAACATGTAGAAATAGGTCCAAAGACAATGTCTCTCACAAGTCCTTACATTACCTGCCTCAAAACTCCCTAGTGTGCTTATTAATAAAATTGTAAGACCACTCTTCAGATCGATTTCTGGGTGGGACTCTTTGGAGCTTGGAGCCACTCACAGATTTAAGCTCTTGGAGAGTTTCTTATACCTAAATTCAAAACATACTAGCCAATGAGCTTCTACCTTGCTCCCAGTCTACAGTCTTTCTTCCTCTCAATTTTTAGCCTATTTGTTTTCTGATCATTCAAATTGGAAAACTCATTAATTCTGCAATTAATATGGGTATAGAACCAAATTTGTGCCAGGACCCTGCCATAAGCAGCTAGATATGGAAAAAACAATGAACTCTGTACAAGTTTGCAATCTAGTAATGAAATCTAGACAAAGCTCAACTATCTCAGGGTATGAGCCTGAGGGAGATGTGATTCAGTTTCTTGGGTAGATGACCTATGAACCACACAGACAAATATAGCAGCCAATTTTCCTTCTTTTAGCTGCAAGATTTCATACCACAGAAAATGCAAAACAGGCAACTTGAAATCATTAGTTAACTTTAACTCTAAACACCACAATTTAGCAAACAAAAGGTGGATTTTTTAAATTTTGTTTTTTTTTTTTTGATACAGAGTCTCACCATGTAGCTCAAGTTGGCATGAAACTTACTCTGTAGCCTAGGCTGATATGGAACTCACAATCTTCCTGCCTCTCAGTCTCTCTAGTGCTGAAATTACAGGCATGGACCACCACACTGGACCAAAAAGAGATTTAAAGATAACAGTGCACTGCTCAAAGGTTCTAAGATTGAGCCTATCTGTATAATCACTTTTTCTAAGTCATACAAAAGTGGAAAATATATCTAAAAATTTCATGAAATATTTAGTCATTCGATAAACATTTTTGAGCACCTGCTTAGGTAATTTTCAAAAGTGAGTAAAGCAAAGTCTCTGGAAACAAATGGTCTGGATTTGAAACCCTGCTTTAACATTTACTACACATGTACTTTGGGCATAGAACTGAACTATGAGGATTAGATATGAATGTATATGAAGTACTTGCCCAGTATATGGCAATAGTAAGTACTTAAAAAGCACTATATCTTTATTACCTGAGACTGAGTTTACATAGCACCTCAATTGCAATGTTCTCTTCTAACACATATACAAAAATAAATCCTATATAAATTATAGTTAATAAGAACTTAGTCTTCTCAACAGCAGAATTTATCTTTCACATTCATTGCTACATTCTCAATACTTAGAATGGTGCCTTATACAAATATCTGGCAAGTAAATGAACCAGTAAAAATATAATTAAAAATATAAAAAAAAAGAAAGAAATGTCTAGTTAGAGCAGGTGGCATTTTATTTTTTGCTCTTAACTATTTTTATCTTATTATAAAAATGTGTATGTTATTTAAAAATCTGGAAATTCAGAGACTATAAAGTAAATTAAAATAACTCATAATTCCATGAGCTAAATACCACCATTACTCATCAATTATAATTATATACGCATAAATAAGCATTAAATCTAGGAGTATTTTCAACTTTTTGTTATTCTTATTTAAAACTACATGTCATTCATATTTTTCAAATTACAGTATTCTCCCATATGGCTAAAGCAATGTATATAACTTCAACTGTAATACAGATTGTTTCCAATTTTTTTTTGCTGTGTAAATAATGTAACACTGAATATCACTTATATGAATATTGTGAGCATCTTCTACTATTTTTTAGGATGCATTTCTAGAAAGAGAATTTCTATGATTAGGCTTCTCAATGCACATTGCTAAATTGCTCTCCTAAAGAATTCTCCAAAAAGAATGCGGCACTGTGAGTGCTCCAGCAGGTGTTGTGAAAGATAACTTTCTAATATTAGAAGCAATAAAAAGAAATCACGCACACACAAAGTGACAGATGATGGGAAGGTGATGCAGGAGAATCACAATACATAGCAAGACCCTATCCCACAAACATTAAACAAAAAAAGCGGTAGATTTTCTTATTAATTTGTATAAGTATTTCATATAATAAGAACCGAAGAGAATTATTGCCCATTCTGGATCACAACCATTAAATAGTTGAATACATTAACAAATCTCCACAATCATCTTACAACACGGAGGTTCTGTCCCCCATGTAAATTTATTCAGTTCACTCTCCTTTAACTTTCCCCAGATAAGGATATAAACTCAGGATCGGGTTTCAAATCCTATTTTCCTCTTACTAAAGTAGGTAAACAGTACATTAAATAAAGGTAATTTTGAGATAGTTAAGGACAAGGCTAAAATCATTGGCAACTAAGGCTATTCAACGCTATCCATATTCAAAATGCATCGGCATTATAGCTGAAATATACTTAAAGCTAATAAATACTTACTAAGATAACAGCACAATGAAACACAGAGATCCTTTTTTCCAAAAGTTAAGAGAGTAGTTATGCCAAAAAGCTACCTTATAGTTAATACCATGATTAGATTGATCCTAAGATAAATTCTTTCACATTTTATGGTAAATATGAGTGCAGCAGACAGCATAAACTCATCATAAGTAAAATAATGTAAATCTACATATATAAACAATTCTGAATTGGGAAGAAATAAATTTTTAAATGAAGTAAATCTTCTAAATATGTAAACTCTACATAGTTTTACACAGATTTTTTTTCCAGTAAATGAAATAAAGCATAGACAACATTATTTAGGTTCTAGAACTACAGTACAGTCAAGCACCAATCATATAACCATGTTTCAATGGACCACATATACAATGGTGGTGCCATAAGATTACAACAGACATGAAAAATTCCTACCCCCTAGCTATGTCATAACCATTTACTATAATGGCACAGCAAAGCACTCAAGTCTGTGGTGATGCTGGCATAAACAAACCTACTGTGTGCCAGTCAAGAAAAGTATAGCACATGCAATTGTGCACAGTGCATACTGCATAATGATAACAAATGACTCACTGGTTTATGCATTTACTGTACTGTAATTTTTAGTGTCGTTTTAGTCAAAGAAAAGTTCACATGAACAGCACGCTGTGCTACAACAGGCAGCAACCTTATGCATCTTGTATCTTTTGATTACACCAAGAGGCCATGGCAAGTGAATGGCCTACACCATGTAGGCTTGTGTTAGTGCACTCAATGATGTTCTCACAGTGATGAAATCGCATAACCACACATTTCTCACAACCATCCCCATTAAGCAATGAATGACTGCAATTTTAAAAATGACTTAAAAGAAACTAATGTGGAAAAAAAATCAGGAGAATATCTACAGACCTTTATTGTAAAAGCACCTCATAATCACAGATTCTGATAAGTAACAGGCAAGCAACATCTATTTCCACAGCATATCAACTGCATGCAGTGACAGAACAGAAACCAGGATCACTTGCCAGCCTCATCACTCAACAGTGGTATTTTTTTTTAAAAAGGAACCCAAAGTTCTGTAATATAGGCCAGGTGTAGTAGCTCACACCTATAATCCTAGCTATTCAGGAGGCAGAGATCAGGACGATTACAAGTTAGAGGCCAGTCTGGACAAAATGTTAGGGAAATCCCCATCTCAAGAAACAAGCTGGGAGTGGTGATGCATGCCTCCCAGCTACTAGGGAGGCTTAGGTAGGATTTCTGAGGTGGGCAAAAGTGAAACCCTAAGGGGCCAAAGGTGTGGCTCAAGCGATAGAGCACCTACTTTGAAAGCTTAAAGCCCTGAGTTCAAAGCCTAGTCCCACAAAAAAAAAAAAAAAAATCAAAACCCAAAAATCAAAAGTGAGACCCCACCTGAAAAACAGACTAAAGCAAAAAGGGCTAGGGGCATGGCTCAAGTGGTACAGCACTTGCCTCGTAAGTGCAAGGCCCTGACCTCAACACCAAAGTTCTATAATATAGAGAAGTATGCATACCGTCACTATGTATGAAATACTGACATAACCTGAGAAAGTCTAAGAGAAGCAGAGAAAGAAAAACCAAAGACTCCCAAAATAATCCACAAACCTCATCATGCCCTTTCCATTTCACATTCTAATGGCTATACATTTTTTTTTTTTTTAAGTTTTGCACCTTTTCCCTGTAATAATGAGTTAGCACCAAACAGGTCTTCAGCAGGAAGTGTACTGTGAGAACAATACTTACAAAGCTTTTGAGATGCAAGTTGTATTGACTGACCCCAGAGCTTTCCATCTTGATTTCTAAGACTGTCGTTGATGAAATGAATTGCTGGGATAGCTATATGCTGGGCATGTTTTAGTAGTTTTCCTGCCTTCATTCGATCTAACTCTTGCACAACAACCCAGGGAATTATTAACACAAGTCTGTCAAACCCTAAAAAATAAAAATATTTCTTAGAACCCAACACATATTAATTGAGCTACTAAATCAAATTGCTGTAGGAGAACTAAAAGTTTTAAAGTACACAATCCCTACCTATAAGAAAGTCACAATAAATGAAGAGCTAATACATAAAAATGGAAATTAAAAGGATATATAACATTCTTATTAGAAATTAACTACTACTAGAGAATAAGTAAGCAGATATGATTTCTATATTTAAGGTTCCTAATGTAAATGATTTCATAATAAATGAGTAATTTAAATTATAATAAGCATCATTTTAAAAATGAGTTTTACATTGCTAGGTTAATTTATGAAGGATCTGTATTTTATATCTGAGCTGACGATACATATATACGCTTAATATATTTTATATACCTATGCCTAATAACATACATATATATAGAGAGAAAGAGATATGTCTGTGTGGGAAAAATCTTTATCACTGTTAATATAAAATAATAAGAAAGAAAAACAGAATCTGTAAATATGCTTTGTAAATACCTGGTATTTTGGATGTCTTCAAAATTCTAACAAATTTGAGATGATTCATCAGAATATTCGTGTCAATAACAATTAGAAGGTTTTTGTCTGAAGCAGTATTTGCTGGAGCAAAAGAGCAAGATTAGAATTTCACAACAGTTGATAACAGACTTGTTCAATGACTACAATGTCGATAGCACAGAAGCACAGAAAACTCCCTTAAACAAGAGAAGCGGACAGTTGGCTGGATTCTTCAGCTGCTAACCTTCTGGCCCATCACTTTCTTGCCATGCACATTTTTCCACGGTGCAGGGCATAGAGGTGGAAAATGGATGGAGGTGGAGGAAGTAACAAAGTGGGCAGAGAAGGCAAGGTCTGTCAAAGCAAATCCATTCGAGCAATCAGGACCAAGGCAGGAGAACCGCCCAAGAGTGTGCTTTTGGTCACATTTGTAATAGAAAGAGGTCTTTAAATAAGGAAAAACAAAACTGCTTTTACTTTCATTCTTAAGGAAAAGAATAAAATTTGATGTTTAATTATTTACCAGCAGAATATCATAAACTGTTTTTTGGTGTACCATAAATCATAAACAGACTTGTCCAACAGTAATGGTTTCTACATCCTGTTCTGCATCACCAGGTAGCTGTGCATTTAAGAAGTATAAGCTAATTTCACTACAACACGAGTAAAATATAGCTGAAAAGGTAAATACGTATAAATGAAAACACATAAAAATACTACCATTTTTATTTCATAGAGCCTTAGTGTAGACCAGATAAATTATTAGAAAATATTTAGTAAATTTAAAAATGAAATATGAATATAAGGTAGCATTGCAATTTTTATAGATAAAACTCAAAATAGTGGGCTGGCAGAGTGGCTCAGGTGGTAGAGTACCTATCTAGCAAGTGTGAAGCCGTAAGTTCAAACCCCAGTACCTCCAAAAAATTCCCCCCAAACTCAAAATAGTATACTAACTAACAGCCAGGAGCAGGTAGCTCACACCTGTAATTCTAGCTACTCAGGAGGCAGAGATCAGGAGGATCACAGTTCAAAGCCAGCCTGGGCAAATAATTTGAGAGATGCTATCTCAAAAAAAACCAACACAAAAAAGGGCTGGTGGAGTGGCTCAAGGTGTAGGCACTGAGTTCAAGCTCCAGTATTGCATAAAAAAGAAAAAAATAGTATGCTAACAGATTTTGGACAATCTTTTTTCCCTCTTAAGATAGAGAGTCTTATGACATAGGTCAGGCTGGCCTGGAACTCACTATGTAGTCCAGGTTGCCCTTAAACTCTAATCCTCCTTCCTCTGAATTTGAGTACTGGGATTACAGGCATGAACCACCACTCCTGGCATTTTGGATAATATTTATCATCTTCTCCCAGTAGTAAAAATAACCAAAACTTTACTGTATGAACAAGAAATTCATAATTTCTGCTTCTTGGCAAAGAGAAAGAGAAAATATGTTTAAATGATTAACAATGTAATCTATATAAAGCAAAAGACAAATATTAGACTTGATTCTTAAATGAAATATAGCATATCATTTCAAATGATTAAATTTTAACATTTTCCAAGTACACATGGTAAAAACTGAATGTTGGCACACAAGTGATCAGAAACATTAACATATGGGGTATACCAGCAGAAGAATGCACATCGTCTTCCAAGTCAATTTCCATACTCATCAACTCTCCAGAAGGTGGAACCACAGGTAAATCCACATTTTTTCCTACACGTGCAGCATGAAGCTCTTCTACTATCTGCATCTAAATTATAAAAAGATCCCAGTGAAACATGTTGAGTTACTTTTCTGCAGATTGAAAAAGAAAGCAGTTAATTTCTAATTAAGTCACTTGAGACAGTGTGTAGAAAGAAAAAAATTTCAGAAATATTAGAGGCAGCACAGTGAAAGAATATATAGATATAAATATACACAGTTTTAAAAATTGTTCTATTATCTCTGTAACCTTAGGCAAGAAAATTATTTAACTAGTTTGGATCTCCGTTTGCTCATCTACAAAAGAGGAATAATAAGTATTTCCTTTTAGGGTTTTGTGAAGATTAAATGAAACAAACTTGTTTTTTGTGAGTACACAAAACTCAAAATAAGTTCATTCTCATTTCAAAGTTCTTTAAGTGCCAATTTTCTTTTATCTTGACAATGAATGTTCATGAGACTTCTAACATAGTTAGAGACATCATTATTCTCATATCATCAAAATCTTCATAGATTCTTTATTAAAAGTAAGAACTGTTTAGCCAGGCATGATAGTGCACACCTGTAATCCTAGCATTTGGTATGCTGAGGCAGGAGGATCACAAATTCAAGGCCAGCGTGGGCTATATAGCCAGACGCTGCCTCAAAAAACAAAACAGAACAAAAAACTAAATAAATAGGTAGAAATTTCCTACATACAGTAATGCTAATAGCTAATACTTATATAGCTTTACTACATGTCAGGTTCTATTGTAAATGCACTTTATATCTTTAACTACAATATCAAGCATATTATAGATTAAAAACAGCACACAGAGAGGGCCAAGCATTTTGCCAGTTAGTGAACAGCGAAGTATGCTCATGCTGTAGTGCCTCTACTTCTACTACAGAAGTCACAAAGCAGCATGGACTATTGTCAACAGTGTCACCAAAACACACTAAGCAGTGTCTCTCAAAGGGTGATTCTCCCTCTTCTGCATCAGAACCATGGGTGTGCATGGGTGTGTGCTGCTTTAACATTCACACTCCTAGGCCCTACATCAGGCAAACAGAGCCCCAGAATGAAGCCTGGGCTCTACACTTTATATAAGTACTTAAATGGATATGTAGGTTTTTATGAAGTCTTCAGAAACTATTTGGAAAAGTCTTTATGATTACTTGATCACCTTTTAACCTTTGTTTTTAATAAGCTAATCTGTTTTGAAACAAGAGGTTGGAGCCTATGAGCCAGAAGTTACTTGAAATTTTCTCTCTGTGTGTGTACGTGCGTGCGTGCGTGCGTGCGTGTGTGTGTGTGTGTTTCTAGGGTCTGAACTCGGTGCTTACAAGTTCTACCATTTGAGCCACATGTCCAGTCTATTTTGCTTGGTTATCTTGGAGATGAGGATCTTGTGAGCTATTTGCCCGGGCTGGCTGCAGTCCTCCCAATCTCAGCCCTATAAAATCTATAATGAAAAGATAATCACTCTAGCACCAAGTGAAAAGGTCATGGAAATGCCTGAATAACATTCAGGGCCTTATTTAATACCTGTGTCAATTCTTTATGCCCTCAGTCACTCTGAGGGAACTTAGTCAGTTATGTACCGTTGTCTTCTGAATTGTTTTTTTATTTGTTAAAGTTACAAATCCCTTCATGTGTGAAAATAAAGTAGGACCTGTCTGGCTGAATTTCACTGAAAAATTCAATGTAAAAAAGTGTACCAGTCACCTCTTGATCTGTGTCTTGAATACTTTCAGGTGATACTGAAGAACATGGTGCTTCAAAATTCTGAAATGAAAAAAAGTAATTGTATTAGTTAAGATGGAGCATATACCTGCAGTAGGGTTTTTCAACCTTGCACTGTTAACATTAAGGGTCAGACAGTTCTTCACTGTGGGCCTGTTCTGTGCCTTGTAGGATATTTAGCAGCAACCCTGGCCTCTCTCCATCACAACCAATTAGCACGATCCACCCACCCTCAACCTTGATAATCAACACTGTCTCCAGATATAGCTAAATGTCCCTGAGGAATGAAACCCCTTTTATACCTGGCCATGAGAAACCACCCCTATGATAGAAAAGCCCCTCTATCAGATTCATGACATGTGGGAGAAATTCTTAGAGTTTTTAGTACAAAAAATATTCATCTTTGGCCCTAAGAAACAAGATAAGCAAGGTGTCCTTCTGTGATAGAAAATTTTTATCAAGAGGTCATTAAGCCATTTCTAAAAGTGACATGACAAAACAACAAAGAAAATTAGGGAATTATAACAAGGCTAAGGAGAAAGGCTGAAAACATGTAGAACTGCATTATCTGTAGATACAGGACCAGAGGTTTGTCTTTTGTTTTTTGTCTTTTAACAGATTTGAAAATCTTTCTATAAATTCTAACTTGACTTGTTTTTGTTTGAGTTAGGGTCATGCTATGTAGCCAGAATGGACTGGAACTCGAGCTCCTCTAACCTCATCTCATGAGTGCTGGGACTACAGGTGTATACAACTACACATGGCTCTGAATCAGCACTTTTGCAGGGTGGATAAACCCCACCTGACATGCACAGGTGACAGGAAACTCAGCAAAAGCAAACCAAATCATCTAAGACTTCTCCAAGATAACTCCAAACGCCCATGCATTTTACAGGAAACCATAATACAAATTACATACCCTCTTTAAACAAGTATGTTCTACAAAAAATGTTTTAATGGCAATTCGCTTCTACCCTAACTCTCCAGCATCAAACTTTACATGACATGACACCACATACATCCCACACACAGACCCATTGTAGACTTACTACTCCATAACTGTGGGGATTTACAATCCCTTTGTATGTTACTTTAAATCTTACTAGACATCTTTAAGTTTCTCTTAAATTACCAAGTGCCAAGGAAGCCAGAAGTTATCAGCAGAACTTCCTGCAACTCTTAAAATTCTAAGGATTCTTGTTCTGTTCTTTTTTTTTTTTTAAGAAAAAGGTAATTTTTAAAAAATTGTTTGTACATTTATTCATATGTGTATACATTGTTTGGACCACCTGTCCCCCACTGCCTTCCACACCCCTCTTCCCCACACCCCTGGCTTCCAGGCAGAACCTGTTCTGCCCTCTTTTCTAATTTTGTTGAAGAGAAAACGTAAGAGATAATAAGAAAGCATTTTTGCTAGTTTGAGATAAAGATAGCTACACAGAAAGATTCCTAGCATTGCTTCCATGCACATGTGTATTGCAACCCACATTGGTTCATCTCTACCAGACCTCTTCACTACTTCCTGGTCACCTTCCCATAATGGCCTCTGCCAGTTTAAGATTACTTTATTCACTCCTCTATAGTGAGCACAACTACTTTCAAGTTTAGGTTTTCTTCCCTTTCCTTATTATTCCTGTACACATTCTTTGTACCCACTCTCCCCTTAGTGTGTGACCCATGTCCAATACTATTACTGCACTTGTTTTAGGTCTGTAATCCACAAATGAGGGAGAACATACGATTTTTGTTTTCTTCTTTAAGCCAATACTACTCTTTCTTTCTTTGACCTCAGGCTACTTCAATTAATTTCCAACAATTCAGAAAAGTTCCTGTCAGTTGTCCATGAAACCTTCCTCAGTATTAATAATGAAAGTCTTAGTGAGTATGGATTGAGGTAAAGCCTTCCCTGGTGACGACAAAAGGAAATATTGATAATGAAGATAACAACAGTTTCATCTACCAAAGTGATTCTAAACGGAAAACATGATTATCTGGCTTCCCTGCTGACCTTTCAGTGGTTCTCTTCCATCTATAGGATACAACATAAAATACCAGACTTTCCCATGAGACACAAAACCATCCATCATCCAACTTTTTCTCCCATAAACTCTACACATCTGACTCTAGTCATACTGAATAACTTTCTTGCCAATTCTGTTCTATCACATACTGGCCCTCTACCTGGCTGATGGTACTCCTATTTCTCCCTCTCCATGTCCTTCAAGACTAAGCTTAAGAATCTCTACTTTAGTGAGCTCTTCCTCAAATCACCCAAAGTTTTATACTAACAGCACATCCAACGCTTAGGGCTCTGATACTGTCTTCATTGTCCTGCTTATGTTTATTTACTCATGTGCCTGCCTTGGGACTTCCTGAGAGTAAAGATCCTTTTATTCACCTCTAAATCACAAGGTACTCATGGCAAGTACCTGATAAATAACAAGTACTTGTAATTAAGGTTTGATAAGCTAATGAATTCCTACTTCTCAGACTTGTAGGAATTACATAGCATACAGTTTTATAAAACTTATAAACCATGAATCTCTAGAACATTAATTTGCAATGAGGGGAGGGGTCTGTATCAAAGGACTATAAAACCTGAGAAACAAAAGAAGTTATTTTCTTTTAAGGAAATCTTAACAAGATTATTAAATGACAGGATTACTAAATCCAGAAAAATACAACTGGTTCCTTGTAAAGCACACACATTATTTTAGGAAAATAACTAGCTACTAAGAAATTAGTGAGTAAAACAAAATATGTGAGGCAATAAGATGATTATCTCCTGTAAATAGTATGCTAAAGGTAACATACTCAAAATAAGGATACCATTTACTTGTTGCTTCTGAGGCTAGTTGACTTTAAGTCAGATAATGCTGTTAGAGGAACAGTTTAAAAGTGTTTTAGTTCTCACCAATAGAAAGTAGTCATGCAACAATTTCCTCCTCTAGAACTTAATATTCATACTATGTATCTCTTTTGGACTGTGTAGTGATTATATATAGTGATCAAAAGAAAGTAGAAGATGTAGAGACTTCTCATACTATTCTTTAGGTGTATAGCACGTTGGGAACAAGAAGCAAGACATAATCATGATCATTGACAATTTAAAGCTCCCTACATTCTGTGCTAGTGAACTGGGAGAACTGGTTCTAACACAAAACAAATTGGAGGTTCTTCCCCTTTAAGAAAGCAGTGAAAAGAACAAACTCAATTCTTTCCTTCTTTGGGCCCCTTCAAGTTCATTAAGTTAGCAATATACCCTCTGAAACTCTTTTCTGGCCTCTGTAGTCATAATTCCTTCATTTCATGTAAGAAGTATCTGCAATCTTTTTTTTTTTTTTGGACAAACAGGGTCTCACTGTGTTGTTCAGGCTGGCCTCCAACTCCTGGGTTCAAGTGATCCTCCAGCCTCAGTCTCTCAAGAAATCTACGGTCTCAACACTTAAAGGCAGACAAGATTAATCACCCCTGTTTAAGAAGGTCTCTAAATCTCAGAATTTCTAAAATTCCAAGATTCCAAAGTTCTAAAGTTCTGAGGTTCCAAAGTTCTAAAAGTTCTCTGAAAGGTAAATTATTTTATTTTTGACAAAAACAAAGCTATAGATAATGGGTCTCAAAGTATTCCACAAATGCCAATTATTACATGATACAGAAGCAAAACATTTGCGAAGCTTTCTAGCCTGGATTCCTGCTCATGTAATTCGCTCTGCCTGGAATACCCTTACTTCCCCATTCCGCTCCACCTGACCTTTACCTGAGTAATTCCTACTCATTCTTTGGTTCTCAGTTTAACTATTACTCCCTTCAGTCAACCTTACTTAACTAATCCCACCACAGAGTACCAAGGCTATAGTAATCTCATGATGTGCATTCCGATATTAAGTAATAAATACTTTATCATATTTGGAAATCATTTCTCCTTACATGAATAAACTCTGAAATCAGAAACTGTGCGTCTCTTATAGTCTATTGTACTGCAGTGCCTGGCAGAGAGTGGCACTGAAAAACAATTTGTTAAAGGAATAAGCTATCCAGAATATTAGTTCTCTGTAGAGAATATTTTTTCAAAGGACTCTGAAACTGCTTCTTTGCACACCTTTACACATTTCTTTCTGCTGTGGATCCTTGATACCTGCCAGGATACAATCTTGAAGAAATTGGAATTAAAGAGTATAAAATAAGAAACGAACACATTATCTTCGTAATTAAATTTGAATCAGCCCTCTATGATTATCATCAATAATAAAAAAAAAAACTAAAACCTGACTGCGTTTTTTTTTTTAAATAATGAAATTCATTTTACTCTGCCCTAACAGTGGGGGAAAAAAAAAAAAAACCTTCAATTCCTTGCAGGAGGTGTGGCTCAAAGGTAGAGTACATATGCAGCAAGTGCAAAGCCCTGAGTTCAAACCACAGTATTACAAAAAAACTTTTTTTAACCCCATATTCCTCATTTTGTACGGCTTTACCTGGGCAAGGTTTTCCCTGGAATGTGAGTCTTTGGTTTCCTGATGCTCCTGATGGGGTTTTCCTTTCCGCTCTTGAGCAACCTGGTTACATTTGGAGTCTGAGTACAAGTGTTCAGTTTTGTGTCTGGACAAATGTGATGACTGGGAGCTTTTCAGGCATTCTTTTCCTTCCCACTTAGTCTTTGACTTACTAGTCTCTAAACTAAAGACATTTTCTCCTACAAGTTTCTGAATGGTATTACAGGATTTTGGGGGGATTTTAAAGCTGATCTTCTTCCTTTTAGATTCAAAGTGTTCCTTAATTATCTTGTTGGAACAAAAATCCTGAGAAAACTGATACTTCTTACATCTCACCAAGACACATTCTTCAGAATTGTCTCTAGATTTATTGATCCGTTCTTTCATGGTTTCTTTCATCTTTTCCTTCTGAGCAAATAAATGAGGCCATTTCTTTTCTTTTGCCTGGTCTTCAGCTTTAGGTTTCACATCTTTGGCACTTTTAGGACTGCTAAGGTCCTTAATTCCATAGTCAAGCTTACTCCTAACATTTGTCCATTTAGTATCTTTAATATCTTTTTTAGGTCCACTTGAAGAAGCACTCTGTGAAACAATCTGATTATCATTTGAATATGATGTTTCTTGGAGTTTAATAAGTTCTTGAGATGAAGAATTGATTTTTGGTCTCTTGCTGGGCATGTCAATTTTTACATTCGATCTGGAAGGCAGCACAGAAATATCGGTTATATTTCAATTACATATAATGCTGCACTGTACCACTTTTGTTGAGGAGGCAGACTACGCTAACTCCAAACTTCATAAAAAATTAAGAAATGACTTACTTTAAGAATGAAGTGGAAGGGCTAGGCACTGGTAGCTCACACCTGTAATCCTAGCTACTTGGAAGACTCAGATCAAGAGTATTAAGGTTCAAGGTCAGCCCAGACAAATAGTTCACGAGACCCCCATCTCCAAAATAACCAGAGCAAAATGAACTGCAGGTGGCTCAAGCAGTAGAGCACCTACTGTGCAAATGTGAAACCCTGAGTTCAAACCCTAGTCCAACCAAAAAAAAAAAGAAGAACGAAGTGGAAAGGATTCACAAACAAATGGTGCTAAAATCACTGATTTGCCATTTGAAAAAAATATATAGTTTTATATTACACCACACAACATAAATTCCAAAAAAGATTAAATACCTAAATGTAGGATAATTATCTTAATCATTATACTTTTCATCAAACCTTTAATAAATGGAGGAGAAAACAGAAATGTTTATTTGAGCCTTAAAAGAGAATTTCCTAAACTTAACAACAGCAAAAGAAATAATAAAGGAAAATGGTGATATTTTGTTACTACTTAAAACTTTAGCATATGAAAAATAACACAAATTAAAAGAGTTGGGAAATGGCATTGCTAGTAGATAGAAAGCTCATCAAAAATTATTAAGACAGGCTGATGGAGTAGCTCAAGTCGTAGAGCACGTGCTTAGCAAATATCCCAGTACCACCAAAAAAAAAGTACAAAGACTCTAGACTAGGTCATAAAAAGAAATTAATTAAAGAGAAAGGCTAATAAATGTTTTGAAAAAATTTTAAACTTGCCTAGTAATCATGCTAATTACAGTAACAATAACATACCATTTTTTCCTATCAAATTATGTGAAAATTTTCGCCAAGCACCAGTGGCTTGCTTGTAAACTCAAGAGGCAGAGATGAGGAGGATCATGGTTCAAAGCCAACCTAGGCAAAAAGATGGTGAAACCCCATTAAAAAAAAAGGGCTGGTGGATTGGACTTTGATCACATGATGAGGCGAGAGCACACAAGGGAGATATGAGGATAGGTAAGACACCTAAGAAACTAGATGGCATATTTATTGCCCTCAACGCAGAGAAACTAACGCAGATATTTTGGGGCAACTGAGGCCAATAGGAGAGGGGGACCAGGAACTACAGAAAAGGTTAGTTCAAGAAGAATTAACTTAGAAGGTAACACTCATGCACAGGAAATCAATGTGAGTCAACTCCCTGTATAGCTATCCTTATCTCAACCAGCAAAAACACTTGTTCCTTCCTATTATTGCTTATACTCTCTCTTCAACAAAATTAGAGATAAGGGCAAAATAGTTTCTGCCGGGTATCAAGGGGGTGGGGGGGAGTAAGAGAGGGGTGGGGGAAGGGGGGAGAAATGACTCAAGCATTGTATGCACATATGAATAAAATAAAAATTTTAAAAAAAAGGGCTGGTGGAGTGGCCAAAGGTGTAGGCCCTGAGTTCAAGCCCCAATACAAAAATAAATAAATAAATAAAGGTAGTGAACATTTTAAAGTAACATTCAATACATTAAATATTGGTAAGGTGTTGTAAAAGTAAAAGGGATCCTTTCATATGTTGTTGGGAGAAATGCAAAATTATATGACAATTCTACAAAGAATTTGACAATATGAATTAACAGCTCTAAAAACACTATTTTTTTTTTTCAGTACTAGGGTTTGAACTCAGGGCTTCGTGATTACTTAGGCAGGTGTTCTACCACCTGAGCCACACCTCCAGTCACCATGACCACTCCCCTCCCCCCAAAAAAAAAAACCAAAAAACACATTTTTTGATTCCTCAGTAATTGTCAATTTGGTGAAAAAAATCAGAAACTAAAAAATATTTAAAAGATATCCAATTCATGATTACTTGTAATAACAAAAAAATCAGGTAAAGAGTAAACATTAAAATTTTGGAAATGACTCTTTTTAAAAAGTCATATTTATATGACAAAATATTATAGTCATTTCAAATTATGTTTATGAAAAGTTCTCAATGAGCTAAAACATAATGATACAATATGAGCCAAAACATAAGCAGGGTACAAATCTGTATATATATTACACACAATACAAATTTAAATAAGCCTAGTCAAAAAAGTCAGAAAGAAAAGTGCTAAAATGTTGGAAGTGGCAATAAGTAGAGTTGATAATATTTTTGTATTTCATAACAGTAGATGTCATGGAGGGGTGAATTCAAGTATGATATATTTGATATATTGTAAGAACATTTGTAAATGCCACAATAATAACAATAAAAATAAATAAAAATAACAGTAGATGCTGCTTTGTAGTCACAAAAAGAAATTTCAATCAAATGCAATTCATTAACATGTATCAATAAACCTTTAAGTGCCTTCTAAGGGTTGGCTCACTCTGCTAGGCACTAGAGAGACAGTAGAGGACCCATTAGGTAAACTCATCCTGAATTATATAACAACCCAGCAATGGACAAAGAGCTGGTAAAAAAGTGATTTCTCAAAAAATCAATTATGTAACAGCAAACAGTTTCACCTGTAAGTCACTATCTATTAATAAGTAACAATAAAATAAAACTTCTAAATTTTACAAATTCTCTTAGTTCTATGGGCAATTTTCACATAACCCTGTGCTGCAGATTTCACAGCAGTCTCTGCACAATTGTCTGAACTACTCAACACTACTGAACACTCAACACTATAATTTTTTTTCTGTCCTTTTGCAGAACTAGGATTGAACTTGGGGTCTCATGCTCTATCACCCACAATCCAACACTGTAATACTTTCAAAGAACAACAAAATTAAATCTTAAATCTTAAAATTACTCTGTAATCAATCAAATGCTACAGAGATAACACAGGGCTCTGTATTTGCAACCAAAAATATTAACATTCTGAGATCTTCTTAGATAAAAGACTTGTAGCGAGTAACTTATTTATGAATGACACTATTAAAATCAACATTCAGCTGAAGGTAAACATCATAACCCTACTACTGGGATATAACAATAAATGTCAAATGTTGTCAACATTTTAATTATTCTAATTATAGTATTTTTCCTAATTAGATTATTCAAAAAATCCAGTAACCAACATTTTAAAATATGACATAATGCTGAAACAATGATTATTATTTTTTGGGGGGTACTGGAGCTTGAATTCAGGGCCTCACACTTAATAGGTAGGTGCTCTACCACTTGATCCATTCCACCAGCCCTGTTTTGTGTTGGGTATTTTCAAAATAGGGTCTCGAAAACTATTTGCCCAACTTCGATTTGAACTGCAATCCTCCTGATCTCTGCCTCCTAAATAGCCAGGATTACAGGTGTGAGCAACTGGTGCCCAGGTAACTTTTTTTTTTGGTGGGACTGGGTTTTGAACTCAGGGCTTCGAGCTCACACAGAAGGCACTCTATCACTTGACCCACATGTCTAGCCCAATAATTTCTTAGCATTATCACTTGCAAGAATACTCCTTTGGTTCTCAAAATACACACTTAGGATAATAAATTATACTCACTTTCAACTTAGGTCACCAAAAAATAATGTATTATTTGGGCTAATTCTGACAATAATGGGTACGATTCGTGGCACTTTTGCCATATCTGTAAAAACTCCTTTTCAAAGCCTACTTAGCAATTTGACCAAAGGTGATGATCTATTTTTATTGAAGAAATTCCACAAACTAAACTGTGCTTTCCCACTGCTTGAAGAAATGTTTTCTGTATATTGAAAGCAAATATAAGACTGTCATCCTAGCAATTAGAAATACAGAATTTCTTCTGTCTAAGCAACCCTTTAAACTAAAGGAGTTACTAAATATCTATCTATCTATCTATACTAAATATCTAGTATAGCTACATGACAGATCAGTTTTAAAATATCTTGTATGGCATATAGTTTGTTTACATCTAGTGTAACTTTTGTCAATACTTGAAAGTGAACATTCAGATACTAACAATAATTTGTCTTGTCCAAATGATTTGTCTTGTTCACATTACTGATGTTGTTATCCTGATGAGATATGATAGTAACTCATACAAAATAGTCATTGATGCCAAAGTGGTATTGAAGTAAACATCCAATTGTTCAGCATTCCAAACAATGGCTGAGGCCAACATCAGATGTTAAATACTGAGGCCAATCTGAATCTCAATTCATCTTTAGAATAACTTAAATCCTAATTTCAGAAAAATCCAGTAATACTTTTTCTTTGTTCTTCCAAAGACTATCCAGACAAGTATAGGTGGGAAATATATCAATCAGAAATCTATTCACACTTTATCCTCTTATATATGAACACATGGATAAAAAATGTACCCTTCAGCAAAAGGTAACTAATGAAAAGCCAATAGTGTTTTCATTAAAATTTAAAAAAAGAAAAGGAAAAAGAGGACACTGCAAAAGGCATTAAAAATCTAGTTTAAAAATTCACCAGCAATAATCAACCTAATATGAAATCTGTGATAGAATACGCTTGAACAATGATACAGAAGTTAAAATATCACAAAAGAACAGATGATGATTCATTAGAAAACTGAAAAAAAGTCAGAGGAAGGATGGACTGGTTCTGGTGTTTAATGAGGATAATTTGGGAAGCAGAACTTATATATATACATATATATAAAAAATCATTTTAAGAGTTTCCTGCCCTATCTTCAGAGAAATCTTAATTTTGCCAATGTTTACCATGCACTAGCCTTGTGGTATAGTGGTTGCCTAGCATGTGTAAGATCCTGGGATCAAAACCCAGCACCACAAAATAAAACACAATAAAAATTTAGTCTCATAATTCTAACCAAAACAGTAAAAAGATATCAAGAAAAGGGGACTTTACCTTTTCAGATCTTGTCTTCTTTTCGTATTACAGTACAGAATGTCTGTATGATCTGATTTCTGAAATTAAAAAAAGTCAGAAAACATAAATTGTATGCTGGTATTTTGGTTACAGGAAAAAGAGATTGGGAGACAATTTTTTTCCATAACTGTGTGTTAATAAACAGAATGACATAATAATTTACTTAATTCTCCTAATCATTTTGTGGGACAGACATTCTCATTATTCTCATTTTACAGATAAAAACACCCAAAGCTGAAACAGAATCACAAAGCAAGTCAGCAGCAGAATCATGATTTGAAACCAGACCTGTCTGACTCTCTATTCTACTACCTTGTCTCTCCGTGAACTCTGGGGATACAGAGCTACTATGCACAAGAAAGGTAAGAGAAACATAAAGGACATGTACAAACAACCTAAAGTAAGAGTATAACTAAATGCAAAGCAGAAAAATAGTCACTAAGTGCTAAGAGTTCAAACCATCTACCACCAAAAGATAGAAGTTTCTTGGAAGAGTACAAGAAAGAGCAGGGAATACTCTGGAAGCAATAAGTATAGGCAAGGAGTTCATCAGCAGAACTCCAGCAGCCCTGCAACTAAGAGAAAGGATGGACAAATGGGACTCCATGAAATTAAAAAGCTTCTGCACAACAAAAGAAATGGTCTCTAAATTGAAAAGACCACTCACAGAGTGGGAAAAAATATTTGCTAGCTATGTATCAAAGGACTGATAACCAGAATATATAGGGAGCTCAAAAAACTAAATTCCCCTAAAATCAATGAACCAATAAAGAAATGGGCATGTGAACTAAACAGAACTTTCTCAAAGGAAGAAGTCCAAATGGCCAAAAACACATGAAAAAATGCTCACCATCCCTGGCCATAAAGGAAATGCAAATCAAAACCACACTAAGATTCCACCTCCCCTATAAGAATAGCTGCCATCAAACAACCACCAAAAACAAATGTTGGTGAGGACATGGGGAAAAGGAACCCTCATACATTGCTGGTGGGAATGTAAGCTAGTACAACCACTTTGGAAAACAATATGGAGGCTTAATAATAAACTAAACATAAATCTACCATATGATCTAGCAATACCATTCCTAGAAATATACCCAAAAGAATGAGACTCAGGTTACTCCAAAGGCACCTGCACACCCATGTTTATTGCAGCACTATTCACAATAGTCAAGTTATAGAAACAGCCAAGATGCCCCACAACCAACGAATAGATTAAGAAAACATGGTATTTATACACAGTGGAATTTTACTCAGCCATGAAGAAGAATGAAATCTTGTCATTTGCAAGTAAATGGATGGAACTGGAGAACATCATCTTAAGCAAAGTTAGTCAGGCTCAGAAGGCCAAAAATATGCATGTTCTCCCTCATATGCAGATTATAGACTTAAAACAAATGCAGTAATATTATTGGACATGGGACACACAATAAGGGGAGAACATGCAAGAGAGCAATAGAGAAAGGGAAGGAAACCTAAAACTTGAATGTGGTTTATGTGCTCACTGAAGAGAACCGAATAAAGTAATCTTAAAACTGGCAGAGCCACTATGGAAAGGGGACCAGGAAGTAGTGAAGAGGTCTGGTAGAAATGAACCAATGTGGGTGGCAATATATAAGTGCATGGAAACAATGCTAGGAATCTCTCTATATAGCTATCTTTACCTCAAACTAGCAAAAATTAAATGTCTTTCTTACTATCTCTTATGCTTTCTCTTCAAAATTGGAGAACAAGAGGGCAGAATAGGTTCTGCATGGAAAGTGGGAGGTGGGAAGAGGGTGAGAGAAATGGGGAGGAATGGGAGAGGAATTGGCCCAAACAATGTATACACATGTAAGTAAATGTAAAAATGATAAAAGAAGGGAGGAAAAAAAAAAGAAGGTGCTTAGAAAAAAAGGAAGACAAGATACATGAAAGATGGTAAGTAATATAAATTCAGTAGAGAGAAAATAAATCAGCCTAGCTGAAAGTAGAGGAACTTTGTCAAGGAAGTCGGGGAAAAATAAGAAAATCGGGTAGCTAAGACATGACCAAATTTGAGGTCATGAATGATTAGCTACACAGTGAGTGAGGACCTTTCTGTAGAGGACAAATGTGATAAATATTTTAAGAAGACTGGTGGGACTTGCCAGTGAGGCTCAGTGGTACAGCACATGCTTGGCATGTATAAGGCATTGGGTTCAATGCTCAGCACCAAAAAAAAAAAAAAAAAAGATGGAAAAATTAATAAATTGAAACAACAGTTTAATTATAGTTATGCACCACATAACATTTCAATGACATGCTGCATGTATGATGGTAATCCCGTAAGATTACAAACTTAAATTATGCAACTGGAACAAGAATACATAGCTGTTGGAGAATAAGAACAACTCTTAAGAAAATTCTCAGTGAAGGGTTTATACAGAAGCTTTTGCAGACTTCACAAGCTCCCTAAAATTTAAAAACATAGACCGCCAACACCAAAACGTTTCTATTAATGGAGAGAAATGTTCATCTTGTACTGATTACAAGCAAATCCATGATGACAGAAAAGAAAGAAATCAAGCAAATAACCATGCATGTATTTCTGGAAAGAGTAAAGCCTCTGAAACAGGTCCTTCAGGAGGGATTCCAGAAAAAGGAACTGTTATCATAGGAGATGACAGTTTCAGCATGCTACTGCCTCTGCAGATCTTCCAGTGGGACAAGATGGAGATGTGGGAGACAATGATGTTGATGACCCTGACTCTATGTAGGCCTAGGCTAGTGTATATGTGTGTATGCAGTGCCTGTGTGTTTCTCTTAGTTTTTAACAAAAGTTTAAAAAGTAAAAAAAGTTTTGGGTTTTTTGACAGCCCTGGGTTTGAACCCAGGGCCTTGCGCTTGTAAGGCAGGCACTCTACCGCTTCAGCCAAAATCCCATCCCAAAAGTTTTAAAATAGAAAAAAACTTATAGAAGGAAGATACAAAGAAAAAATGTTTTTGTATAGCTACACAATGTAAGTTTTAAGCTAAGAGTTATAAAAGTCAAAAAGTTATAAAACTATCGAAGTTGATAAAGTAAAAAGCCACATTAAGGTTGATTAATTGAAGAAAAACGTTTTAAATAAGCTCAAGTGTATCCTACATGCACATTGCTTGTAAAATTTACAAGTAAATATGTAATACCCAGGTTCTTCACATTCACTCACCTCTTATTATGGGACTCACCTAGAGCAAGTTCAAGTCCTACGATATAAGCGTACCATTTTTAACTTTTATACCACATTTTTATTGTGGATCTCAAGCTCTTTTATGTTTATCTATGCTTAAATACGCAAACAGATATAACAAATATGTATTACAATTGCCTACAGTATTTAATAACATGGTATAGGTTTATAGTCTAAGAATAATAGGCTATATATTATATAGCTTAGGTGTGCAGGTTATACCATTTGGGTTTGTGCATATTCCCTATGATGACAGCACAACAAAATCACCTAACAATGTATTCCTAGGAAAGTAACCCCATCACTAAGTAATGCCTCGGTGTGTATGAAAATAAATACGTAAATTCTTAAAAACACAATTCTGCATTCCTGCAGTTTTCACTACTTTTGCTTTTATCCACCACAACTATGTAGCTACTATGGATACACACTTAATTTCATCTTCAATGTGGTATGTACTTCATCAGCAACTCATGGATTAGCTTATGTGTTTAACCAATTTACTGTCACTAACAATTAGTATAAGAGTGAAAAAGAACTCTGGATTTGGCTCTGTTGCTATGTTCAGTTTCCTGTCCTTGAATAAGCCATTTGACCTTGTAGATCTCAATTTCTGAATGAGAAAATGCAAGTATGATATCTGCCTTGATTATAGACAAATATAAACAAATATGTGAGAACACTCAAAAACTTTCTAAATTTGTATCTATGCCATCCAATCCAAAATGGTAGGGTCTACGACACAAGAAGTAAAGAATCCAATAAATGCTTTTTGGTAAGTAGAAGAAAGAAAAAAGCAAACCTTAGTTTACTACTAGCTATCAAGAAATTTTATATTATAAACCCTCTAACTGAACATTAGAACCTTAATATATCCGAGTGTGGTTGCACAGGCCTATAATCCCAGCCATGTGGGAGGCTGAGGCAGGAGAGACACTTGATCCCAAGAGTTTGAGGTAAGTCTGGGCAACATAGTGATACCCCATCTCTTAAAAAAAAAATAAACCAACAAAAAACTAACATAAAATAAATATAAAATATATTTATGTTGTATATAAATATATATTTATATACAACATAAATATATTTTTTAGTTACAGAATCTTTTTTTTTTTAAACAGAATTTATGATTGAATTAACAACCCTTAAGAACTCTAACCACTTGAGCAATGTCCCTCAGTCATTTTGCATTTAGTTTATTGCTCAGATAAGGTGTCATGCTAACTTTGCCTGGGCTGGCCTCCTTCTACCTCTGCCTCCCACTAGCTGGGACCATGCTGTGCCAGCTTGTTTTTGAGACAGGATTTCAATAACTTTTGCCCAGGCTGGCCTCAAACTTTGACCCTCCTATCTCTGTCTCCCAAGTAGCTGGGAAGAATACAGATAGTCATGGGATCTTAAAAACTCACCAGTTTTCTCTTCTCTGATGGAACTGATGTTACAGAGTAATCTGAACTAGTCAAACTTGCTGAAGTTTTTTTCACCTTTTGGTCCTAAGAATGCCATTCAGGAGGAAAAAAAGAACAAAACAGAAAAACTCAATATTGGGCATGGTATAAAACAGCATTATTTTATCATTATTATAAACTGATATTCCCATTCAATAATGAACTCCAGAGAACAGTATTTAAAGACATAGAAACTTTGGTAAGAAGGGAGACTCAACCAGAAATCAGAAGCCCTGGGTGCTCCTAAATTAGAGATGAGATGGATACAGTTGTAGTAGTAGGGAGCTAGCTGACAGCTCAGATAAGAATGTAGTAAGAAGCCAGATGCCGGTGGCTCACACCTGTAATCCTAGCTACTCAGGAGGCAGAGATCAGGAGGACTGCAGTTCGAAACCAGCCCAGGCAAATAGTTGGCGAGACCCTATCTTGAAAAATCCATCACAAAAAAGGGATTAGTAGAGTGACTCAAAGTGTAGGCCCTGAGTTCAAAAAAAAAAAAAAAAAAAAAAAGAATGTTGTAATGTGACATTGCCATGGTGGGATTCAGTCTTCTATAAAGCAAAACCAAAACCATGTATCTCATTATATTTTCCGTGGACCTTGAATTCACAATAGACTAAGGACAGACTTGTTTGGAGTCCCTAATACATACCAAAGATACACCAGATAGTGAGCAGATATTAATAAAAAAAATAAAAGCCCCTGCCTCCATGCACATTAAAATCCAGTATAGGAATTTACAAATAACTAAGTAATATATTTCATGTGTCAGATGATGTTACGGAATAAAAGAAAGCAGAGAAATCATACAGGATAGGCTGGGAGTTAGAATTGGGAGAATCTGCAATTTTTGAACAGAGTGATCAGAAATAACCCCATTTATGAGATGACATATGAATGAAGACCTAAATAAAGTGAAGAGATAAGCCATCTGAGTAAGTAGAGAAAAAGTTTTCGCTCAAAGGGAATGACAGCTAGGGGCAAAGCCCCAGAAGCAGAAAATGTACCTAGATTGTGGAACAACAAGGAAGCCATGGAGTGGAAGAGCAAAGGAAAGAGACAGACAGATAAGATGGGGAATAGGTGGTTTTGTCAGGTCCAACAAGGACTTCACATTTTACTCTAGATGACATGCAAAACCAATAGAAAGTATTGAGCAAAGAAGTGACACGATTTGGCTTACATTATAATAAGACCACACTGGCTACTATGTTAAGAATAGTGCATGAGGAAGCAAGGGAGAGGCAGGGAGATCAATTTAGAAACCTCTAGAAATATTGAGGAAAACAAAATTATTTGCTTGGAACATGATGACAGCAATAGAGGAGGGAGTCAGACTATGAATATACTATAAAGAAATTGCTGATGGACTGGACGCAGGAAGATGACCACGAGTTTTGGCCTAAGCAATCGGAAGAATGGAATAGCAATTTGTTAAGCTGAAAAACTGAGTCTGAAAAACACTTAAAAATTTACAGTTTAGCTTGGAAGGAACCAGCAAAGGAATCTGAGAAGCATTCATCAGAGAAAAGGAAAATAAAGAGAGTAGAATATCTCAAAAGTTAAATCAAAAAGTTTCAAGAAGCATAAATCAACTATGACAAATACTGCTGGAAGGTCAAGGTAAATGAGGTCTGAGAATTGACCAGTGGAGTTAGCAACATGGAAACTATAACTGGCTTCAAGAAGAGCACATCTAGAGAAGTGATGGCAAAAAAAAAATCTCTGATTAGGCTAGATTTAAAAGGAAATGGGGTCTGAAAGTATGGGTCTTGCCTGTCAGGTGCAAGGCCTCCTGATTTTGAACGCCAGAACCAGAAGGGGAAGGGATGAGTAGAACCGCAAACACCAAGCCAATTATGAATGACAAATGGTGGAGGGGTATGCATCAAGGACACAAAAGTACTACATGGCCATGCTCCACGGCCCCCTTTATAATTATCACTGTACCTGGAAGGCCAGATTCATATTCAGAGAGCTAATGAGTAAGTGAGGAACGAACGTCAAAAAGTGCAATGCATGTTGAATATTTTATCCAGGCCATATAAAAGTCTTATGAACTAATCTACTACCACCGAAGTCACTTTTTTAATGAATAGTTACCTTTGCCAGATTAGTCCCTCATTTTTTTATAGCAAAATAGCACACACACTGTCTAATTCTAATGATGAACTATATGGAATAATAAAACTGTTTACAAAATTTTCTGTTTGTTTGCTTTGGTTATATCAATCACATTGTGGTCTTGCTTCCTAGAAACACTACTCACTCAGTTAATGAAATCCTAAATTTTATGTAACAAAGCAGTTCTAAAGGCAGTGTGCTGAGAAAAGAGAAAAGAACATGGGAGCATGTCTTCCTTACCATTAGCCCCACCCCCTGCAAAGCACTGGCCACTGACTGATGAGAGCACAATCCTAGCCCATGCTGAAGAAATGGAAAATGGTCTAATGGCGAGTTATTATTATGAATATAAGGACTTAGGACACTGAGAATTGAAGTCAGGAATGCCTACACAAATTACTTTCCTCTCAGTAACTACTCTCTAAATCTCAGTTTTTTAATCTGCCTAATTGAGATAACAATAGTAACTACCCACAGACCTGCAAGGAATTCATATAAATAATGCAAGTAAAGAATAGGAAAAGCAAATGACTTCTCTTAGGTCAGATGCGCAGAACAAAATATTTACATATCTCATTACAAAAGTGAGGTGCATTTTTTTCATTACACAAAAATAAATTGAAAAAAAAGAAAGATAACATTAGGTCAATAAATCAAAAGTCTCACTTCATCAAAAATGGGTGAAGAGGTGGTGCCTTTTTTCTGAGACTTTTCTTCTTTGCCCCAAGATTCTTTGTTGGACATCTTGAAAAGCTAAAACAAACATTAAAAATACATTATTTTTTTTTTTACTACAAAGTACATCAGAAATTATTCTCTCAGTTACATAAAGATTCGAGTTTTACAAAATGATTTCTATTTTATAGCCATTCTCAAGATTGTAAGATTCTCTCACTGTCCTCCTCTTCTTTTGCAGTATTGGGGTTTGAATTCAGGGCCTACACCTCGAGCCACTCCACCAGCCCTTTCTGTGTTAGCTATTTTCAAGACAGGGTCTCACAAACTATTTGCCCAGACTGGCTTCAAACTGTGATCCTCCTGATCTCTGCCTTTGAGTAGCTAGGATGACAGGCTTAAGTCACTGGAGCCTGGCTGTTCCCCTTTTCTTTACTTACATTCTCCTTCATAAAGATCTGTTCCTCTCCTTCAGTTTCATCAAAAACTCAAAATTATACCTTGAGCCTTGACATCTGCCTTAAGCACCAGGTCATTATTTTTAACTGCCTGCAAAAATGCTACATTTTACCCCATCTACAATCACAGAACCAAAAATTTTCATTTTTCCCAGACACACCATCTGTCATTCACTACATGAGACTTCAGGCAAACTGAATACACTGGGGGGGGGAGGGCATGTTTCATTGTATGTAAATTAAAGACAATTCATCCTAGAGGGTTTCTGAAAGAGTCAAAAGAAAAAAAAGGATATAAAAAATATCTTGCACAGAGTGGTACATATTAGGATCTAAATAAATAGCTATGTGGTTACCCTTCTGGTAGAACCAGAGTTCCTTGAAAAGAATGCTGTATAAAAAACTTGGGAAGTACTAGTCAATGTCTGCTTAGTGAATGAAGTGAATGAATTCTTTATCAGAATATTCACTTTCATTCCGAGCCACCTCCAACACTTACATATAACAAGCAGTTCCTCTGTCCAATTCCTATACCTGTTTTACTTTTCCAGCCCTAGCCCTGTTCTAGACCAAGTTAATGCTGTTAGCTGCTGACCCCAATCCCAAAAAATTGTAAGACAAACATAGCCATACCTTATGGTCATAAACAGTCTCAAGATTGTGTGTCCGAGCAGCACAGAGCAGCATCCCGGGCTGGGATACAGTGGCCAGAGATTGGGAACATCAGTAGATCTGTTAAGACGAGAAGACAGGAAGGGTAGAATCAAAGTCCAAAGAAGAGTTAATAGCTGATAGTGACACATGCTGACAATATGAACATAACAAAGGCTACAAACCCAGCAATTTCAATTATGTCTGGTCAGTTATAGTCAGAGTAGGTGAGGTTCTAAAAAAAGAATGATCAATTTGACTACAATGTTTAAATGCTTTGATAACTATAAAGAGAAGAGAATGCTGATACCTAACAGAAAACCTAATAATAAAAATTATTAAATGAATATTCAACAGACTTTTGAGAACCGATTCTAAAGTACTCAGAAGTTTTTCCTTGTAAGATACTTTATGGTAATAGCTGAATTCACAGTTAACCTTCCACATTACAGTAGTAATTTTCTTTTCACTTTCTTGTCTCATTCCATGTAGGAAATAAAGCACAATTATAACAGCAACAAAAAAACTTCAAGCTGGCATGGTGGCCCACACCTGTAGTCCCTGCTACTTGGAAGCTGAGACACGATGGGCTGAGTTCCAGAGTTAGGGCACAACCTGGGGCAACATAATAAAACCCTTTTCTTTAAAAAAATAAATAAATAAGAAAGAAAAAAGGAAAAAAAGTAACTTTCATGAGACATTATAACTAACTGGATATAATGTTATATTTTACAATTTCAACTGACCTATTCTGGTCTGATGTATTGGATACCCTAATACTAATTTAAACCTCTTTCTTACAAGACACACTGAAAAATAACACTGCAGATAGTGAAGTAGCCAAGAAAAAAATCTATATGTTTATTACAACATGTTTTATATTCATGTTAGTATGAAGTTCATACTGATTTCATGCAAATCAAAACAAACTAAGTGCAGGTAGACTTCCTGTGTGGGCAGACTCCTGGATGGTTTCTTATGATCCCTGCCCAGGTAATCACACTCTTATGTAGTCCCTTCCACAATGATAGGGCTGGCCTGTGTAACCTATAGGCTATAGCTACATGGTAGTTTGTGGCTAAGTCATATAAGACACTGTGTTAACTGCCTTGCTAACTTGGATTGCTCACTCTAGGAAAGCTGGACCCCATGTTCTGAGCGTCACTAAAGCAGTCCATGGAAAGGCCCACCTGGGAAGAACTAGGCCTCTTGGCCAAAAACCAGAACCAACTGCCAGACATGTAAGTAAACCCCCTCTGCTTTGGATTCTTTTTTTTTTTTTTTTTGGAGGTACTGGGGTTTAAACTCAGGGCCTAATTGGCTAGGCAGCACTCTACCACTTGAGGTACTCCACCAGCAATAAGCCACCTTTGAAGCTGATCCTACAAAGTCCTATCAAGTCTTCACAACAGCAGTCCTAGGAAATATCTTCACTGCAATTTCATGAAAATCAGAGCCAGAGCCAGATCCCATCCTAATCCATAGAAACTGTGGGGTAATTTATGGTTGCTTTAAGGCACTAAACTTTTGAGATAATTTATGCAGCAATTGATGCACAAGTATACTCCCTTAATATAATTCTTCAAAGACTGGTGTCATGGCTCAAATGGTAGGGAAGACCCTGAGTTCAAACCTTAGTACTGACAAATCAAAAAAAAGAGAAAGAGAATATAATTCTTCAAACTCAAGATTTCTTCAGCTGGGCACCAGTGGCTCAACCTGTAATACCCCAGAAGCACAGATCAGGAGATTCCTGGCTGGAAGCCAGCCAGAAGAAACAGTCTCAAGACACACCCTATCTGGAAAATACTCAACACAAAACAGGGCTGATGTAGTTGCTCAAGGTAGAGTGTCTGCCTAGCAAGTGTGAGACCCCGAGTTCGAAACCCAGTCCTGCAAGGAAAAAAAAAAAGTCTTCATGCTCAGAAATTCTTAACTAAAATTCCCACAGAATCTACATGCTATAATTGAATCATTTTCATCTTCTGGTTTCCAGCAGGTATTAAATGATTAGGTTGACATACTGAGTCAAATTATGTAATTTTTAGAAACAACGACAAAAGAAAAAAAAGCTGCTTTCTATCCCCAAAATCGGCAAAATTTTTTATAAAAGGCTTGTCTGAAAAAAATTTTTTTTTTGGATGGTGCACTGATAGCATTTCTCTAGGTTATAATCACACAGGTTATATAATGTTATAATCCCATTTTTAAAATGACGGTTAAAAACAGTGAGACAGTAAATAAACTACACATCCAGGAATACTAGTTAAAAAGGGAGTGTATTCAAAAGGCTTTAGTTTTCTTGAGGAACTGGAGAGTAGAATCCAGGGCCTTGCACTTGCTAGGCAAAAACCTCTACCTCTGAGTTACATCTCCAGTCCTTAAAAGGGCTTTAGGACTTGCAAAAGTTTCATGGGGACAATCAGTTAAACACACACACGCCCCCCCCCCCAAAAAAACAAACAAATCAAAAAACCCTATGGATACACTCCTAACTGGTGGGGAGTCTAACTTCCAGTTAGCATTTCAAAGTGCCAAATAAATCACCTCTCCGCTCTCCGGGTTCTCAAATAAGTAGGAACTACAGTAAGAAAGCAGCTTAAGACTCAAAGTGCCTTCCCTCTCCTCCAGTTAGTTCCAGGCGGAGAAACCAGAAAACTCGTTTTTTCCGGGCCTGCTCCAGTGGGCTTATTGAAAGAAAGAAAAAAAAGAAAGAAAGAAAGAAAGAAAAAAAATGAGGCTTGAGTGCCAAGGAGGCACTCAAGTAAAAGGGGGAAAAATAAAGTATGAGGGGGAGGGGAAGGGGATTCACTGGCCTTAGGGAATCTAAAAAGCATCACCAAGCGCCCCAAAGCTCGACGCATTCATAGTTCTTGCTATTTAAAAAATAAAACAAAACATAAACAATCCCTGTGCACTGGACTCTACGACCATACTGCGGCCAAACTAAAATATAAAGGAAACGAGCGCTCTGGTCACAACGTGGGTAAGGTGCGAGAAGTACAAAGGGGCCCAACTCCAAGCCGCTGGGACAAACTGACAGGCAGGCTCTGCGGGGCACGTAAACCGCCAGGCCCACCAACCCGCCAGCTCCTTCCACCCAACGAGGGCCGCACCCTGCCCCGAACAGTCCGGACCCCGGACCCGCCCACAGAATCGCACCGCTCAGGCGCCACTGGTCCTCGAGACCTCAGGCCGACCGGCTTGCCCGCTAGAGTGCTGGAGGAGGGGGTTGGGGGGGGAGCTGGGCAGCCCAGCGAAAAGCCAACGCACCCCTAGCTCTCCAAACCTTACCAACCCCGACGGCGGCGGTGACTCTGAAGGCCCTGACAAGAAAACCCCCTCCAGCCCCACCTCTACCGCCTCGCTAACCCGCTGCCTGCTGGGAAGTGTAGTTCTGCGCTAGAACGCTCCCGAGCGTTTGTTTAGATCTGCGTGTACTTCCTTGGAGGGCCACGCCCCTAAGGCTCGATGCTCCCTGGGAATTGTAGTCTCATTTCGGTTCTGCGGTGGGCTATGGGAGGAACTGAGACGCACCGTGGAAACGGAATTCTCTCACCCCATTGGACGCCGTCCCCAGCACGCTTCTGCGCAGTTTGTGGTGGCGTCTAACTACTCCGGGAAGGGGAAGCCGAGGAGTTGTTGAACCGCTTTCTTTTTTTCTGCTGACAGGATTTGGTCACGGTCTTTTGTCTGTTGCACGTATCCCGCCCTCCCAATTTGCTTCCCGTCCCTCCCATCCTTGGATCCAGTCTTGTGGGCTTTAACGTCAGTCCTCTCACCCCGCCGTGAGTCCCCTCCCGGTCCACGGGCACGGAGGCGGTAACTATGGAAAATATGGCGGAGGAGGAGCTGCTACCTCTGGAGGAGGAGGAGGAGGTGGCTCAGGTCCGGGTCCCGTCTTCGGCCGCGGACTCGGCTCGGGTCCCAGCTCCGGCCCCAGATTCGGCTCCGGCCTCGGATCCGACTCCGGCCTCGGCTCTAGCCCCGGCCCTTACCCTGGCCCAGGCTCCGGCCCTGTCCCCGTCCCTAGCCTCGGCCCCCGAGGAAGCCGAAAGCAGTAAGTGCAGAGCGCTCGGATCCCTCTGCCGCAGAGAGGCGAGCCGAGGCTCCTTGCTGGGGAGTAGGGGGGCCCTTCTCTGTCTGGGGTGGATTTTATGGGGAAAGGTAGGTTTAGGGGACCCGAGGGCGGCAGCGGTGTAGCGAGTAAGGGTAAAATAGGCCCAGAACGGAAGAAAGCACCTCCATAACCCTCGAGGTCATCACAGCGAGACGTATGTGGAGGCCAGGGATGTTGCAGAAGTAGGTGATGAGGTTAAGGGCTTTTCCGTTCAAGAGAATTTTTTATTAAAAAAAAAAAAGAGAGAGGTTGCGCATCATTTGGTTGTTTCCCTCTCAACCGGGTCGGTCTGCTGTGTCCTTTCAAATGTGACATGGTTAAAAAAAAAAAAAAAAAAGTGACATGGTAACCTAGGCAACCTGGTAGGTTAGATAGGAGATCCCAGCTGCAAGGATGTAGGAATTACTGGCAACTGATTTTTCTGCATCATCTTAGACAAAGAGATGGGTCTTTTTTTCCCCCCTTACTTCATTTTCTGTAGTAACCTGCTTCCACGAAAGAATTTGAGTGTCGTGAGTTGATTGGGAGAGTCTACTAAATTAGGATGTCCTCGTGTAAATTCCAATTGAGTTCCATCAGAAGTCTACTGTTGGAAATTAATGAATTAGCCCATATTGTGCTCTGAATGTGCATGCATGTTTTCTAAACGGTGGTTTTATTAGACCATATAGGAATTTAAAATATTGGTGATTAACACTTTTGTAAGGGTCTTCTAAGCATTTTTAAACGTGAGGTCTAGAAAGATTTGATGAATTTAGCAAAAATTTGTGTGGTCCATAAAGTGACTTTTATACTCTCCCAGAATTATCACTTAAAATACCTCACTCCATCATCTGTAGTACTTCTAGGTCAGTTTCGAGTTTGATGTTTATGAAACACTTGGATAGTCATAATCTAATAGAATTATTTTAAATCAACGTATAACTTTTACAGTACATTAAAAGTAGGACTGGTCACAGGAAAAACAAAATCACCATGCCTGAGATAGGCCCCTTATAGGCTGTCAGAACTTGTAGACACAAAATAAGGCCAGTTATTTCTTCCCTTACAACTAGGGTGCCTGAGTGGGAAAGGAGTTTTAACAGTCTGCTGAGTAAGTAGCCTCCTGTACTCTGATTGTGTCTATTTAAGTTAGAGTGATTCAGCTGCATTGGGGAATACTAGCTTTCTATGCCTCCCCATCATTAAAAATTCATATTCATAGCACTTGAGAGGCTGAGGCAGGAGGATCTGCAGTTCAAGACCACCCTGGACTCCATAGGTAGACCCTTTTTTTTTTCCCTTAGAAAAAGTTGAACACAGTTCGGAAACATTTACTTATATATTCCAAAACTTACAAGTGTATAATTTGAAAACTGTGTGCTATTTGAGAAACCTGAAACTGCATTATTGGGACAAATATGTAGTGATTAAGAAATCTGAAATGCATTAGGATTAAATTACATATTAATCACATTTTTAAAATTGTTTTTAGATGGTCTAGTTAGTCCTTTGAAGTCAACCATAACTAGGCAAGATGAAGATGTCGTATCAGAAATAGAACTGAAAACTGAGGAAAAAGTAACTGAAGAAGTTGCCAAAGAGCCTCCTAACATCTTGGACTCCTCTAATTTAACAAGAGGTTTGCCTGTTGACTTCTGGATTTATTAGTGTGTTACAAAAAGCAAGGCGAGAGATTTAAGTACAGAAATGTATAATGGGAACAAAAATATAATGATTCAGAAATTCCTGATTTTTTTAACTCAGGTTATTTGATATCTACTTTCTTGAACCAGAAAGTGATATTAGAGATGTTTTATAGGCATATCATGAATTTTTAGACAGACTTTTGACAGTTTTCTTCAATAGTGTACTACAGGATTTTCAGTTTTCTAATAGCAGACTTTCTCTTGTTTTGTACTACTTAACAGAATAATAATTTCAATAAGCACATCTTTATGTAATGCTATATATCTTGTTTCACATACATAAATCTTTGAGGTATGACAGCCAAAAGCCTTTATGGCTATAGATGTAATAGTTTGTTCCATACACGTGGATTCTTTTCTTGATCTTTTTTTTTTTTTCTCGCTGTAGCAGGTTTGAACTCAGGGCCTCCTGTTTGCTAGGCAGGTGTACTACCACTTAAGCCACTCCCCAAGCCCTCTTTTCTTAATTATTGCTGTCTGATCTAGCAATTAAAAAGTATTTTATCAAACAGGAGGCCCTGAGTTCAAACTTGCTACGGCAGGTTTGGTACTTTGAGGATAGGGTCTCTCAAGCCCTGGCTTTGGACCATGATCTTACTGATCTTTACCTCCTGAGTACCGGCATGAGCCACTGGCACCTGGCCGCTTTTGCTTATTTTTAGTAAGGTGGAAAATCACCTTTTAATAAATTTGAGCAGGAATGTCTGATAGTATTGAGTTAGATTCTAAAATTTTTTATTTAAAAAGTCTAGTGGGTTCTTCTAATTAATATACCTTAGTGTGCCTGCTATGAACAAGTTCCTGTACTAGGCACTTAGCCACCAGAAAAGTAATTAAGGCATAGCCCCTGCCTGCTTAATGCTTAATTATGAAGAAGACAAAAAGGTCAGAAGTTATAAAATGAAGGAACATATGAGCTCAGTGAAACTGAGGGAGGGAAGGTGGCACTGTCAAGAATTAAAAAAGTCTTAAGGCTTTAAATTATTTAGCATAACGAATACTAGAGAGTCCTGAGGTTTATTCTGTTATCTCCTATATCCTTAGGGATCTTTGCCTATCAGCTAGCATCTTCTGGTCTTATATATTCAGGATCCCACTTTGTAAATGTTCCTTTCCTTTGGGATGCACATGTATTTAGGTTTCTCTGTCCTTAAAAAAAAAAGCAAATTACAGTATCATCCATCTCCTTTTTTTCCTTTTAACTACCAAAGTTCTTCAAAAAATGAATACCTTGATTTTTCTATATTTCCTTTCCTCTTCCAATTTTATTTCTTTTCCCAAATACTTTCGCTGCACCTGCTTTTTTAAAGGTCACCAAGAATTGGTAAATCCAGTGTACACTTGATATTTACAACTGTTTGTAAAAATTAGCATTTCTCTTTTATAGACTCGTCTCCTTTGAGTTCTTTGTTAATCTTGATTCTTCTTACCATTTACTCTTTCTGTATCTACCTTCCTGATTTTTTACTCAACTTCTAAGTACCTCTATCCCTTCATGCCTCACATCTAGATTATATCCATTTATATTAATCAGTAGTGGGTTTAATAGCTTTGGGGAATGCATCCCCCCACACCTAATTAAGAATATCTTAAAACTTTCATATATTAAAACTTGTTCAAATATTTAAAAATTTTACAAATACTGATTTGAAGAGTATGTAATATTTAAGAAACCTAAAAATGCATAACTGGAGCAAAAATGTAATGATTCAGAAGTATGCATCAGAACAAAAATATTAGTAAGATTTTTTTTTGTTTGTTTGGTTTTTGTTTTTTGTTTCTTTTTTGGCAGTACTTGGGTTTAGAACGCAGGGCCTCATGCTTGCCAGGCATACACTCTACCACTTGAGCCACTCTGCCAGCCATATAAGATTTAAAAGTTAATTTTAGGTGAAATCAGTCATAACAGAGTAAGATGGGTCTTGGCTTTTTCCTTGTTGTTTTCATGACATTTTTTCCTTAAACTTTTTTTTTGGGGAGGGGACAGTATGGGTGATTGAACTTAGCAAGCACTCCTTAGGCTTTCTTGTTCCCATAGTTTTACCTAATATTTTTTGACTTGTATCTCCAAAGTCCCTCTTGAGCCCCAGAAAAAACATTTTCAACTGTGTACTGGACATTACCTCTATCTTTAATACACTATGTCAAAAACTTCCTTTTCAGTTTTCCTTTGTGCCAAAAGGGTTTCCTTATCTTTCTCAACTATGTAAACTCAGACTCTGACAATAATTTTTTATTATACCCTACACCTTGACTCCTCAAGTCTAAGTTGTTTTTTTTTTCTTTTTAATTCTATTCTCCTATACCTTTCCATTACTCACTTTCTCACCTCTATTATTGATCCTTTGTATGCTACCAGAGCTACTCTCCTGAAGCATAGTCAAATCAAAAACCTGCTGAGCGCTAGTGGCTCACACCTATAATCCTAGCTACTCAGCAGGCAGAGATCTGGAGGTTCAAAGCCAGTCCCAGGCAAATAGTTGGCAAGACCCAAGACAAAAAAGGCTGACATAGTCACTCAAATTGTAGAGTGCCTGCCTAGCATGAGGCCCTGAGTTCAAACCCTAGTACTGCCAAAAAAAGAAAAGCATAAACACCTGAAATGACATCATTATCTGAAGAATTATGTCCAAACTAACTTACATAGAATTTATGCTTCCTATGATCTATATAACCATTCTGCATGTTTTCCTACCTTCTCCATCCCCCCCAAATATACTACATTCTAGCCAAGGGTGGGGTAGGAGTGGCTGTATGTTTTATACTAAGTGCTTTTATTCATGAGGTTACTTCAATTTATAAGTCTAGTCACTAGTTCTCTACTTAGTGAAATTCTGCTCATAACCTTAAGTATCAAATACTGCTTATTAAGTCACTTGTTAGTCAGTCCTCTCCATCATACACCTGTATCATATTACCTTTAACTTTAGTATTGGTTTCATTCTACCTTGTATTGCAGTTAGACATTCACACACTAATCTCTTCTGCATGCTTGAAAGTTCTTTGAAGACAGTTTGTATATTTCTTCATTGTTTTGAATAGTATCAAAATGGGTTTTTTTGTAGATTAATTGACTGAATAAAATTTTAAAGCTATGAGTTTATACAATGGAGTTTTTTCTCCAACTCTTTTGCATTCTGAAGCACACTTGGCATTTTATGTAGTGAACTATAGCAATATTCACTATTTAAGTACTAGGATTCTTTACTACAGGAAGTAAAAGTGTAAACTTGTATTTGATATGATCAAATAAAAATGGAACTAAAAAAATTATTTAAACATAATTTTCTAACTCTTAAATTTACCTTTCAGAGAGACACATCTCAATTCAAAGGCAGCTTGCTGACCTAGAGAAGTTAGCTTTCATACCTGAAGGAGATTTTGAGTCTACCAGTTCATTGAACTCAGATAATCTTGACGCAGGTATTTCCATGTTTGGATTTTTCCCCCCTATTAATCTCTAATAGGTTGTCATCTCTCAGCTCATGAAAACAGTTTGCTAAGAATAGAATTGTTTATTCCTATCAAAAAAGACCACTAGTAAAAAAAAATTATTCAGGAAATTAATAGTCTTTTATCTGCAAAGGTTCTGTAGAATAAGTTATTTTATAACATTTCAGGGAAATTACAATCTCATGGATATTTAGAGGCCGTGTGTTCTATAATGTAAAAATTATATTGGCTACAAGCTACAGAGATCCTCCAAACAGTGTTTTAAATAATACAGGAGTTAAAATTCTATGATGTCAAAGAAGTCTCAAGACAGGCCATTTAGGGTTATTGGTACAAGAGGTCTGTAATGTTGTCCAGGCTCCATGCTCCTTCCACTCTATGCTCTGCTGTCCTTAGTGCTTGGTTTTCATCAAAATTTCATGGGTTTTTTCTTACAGCAGACAGTGTGTATAAAAAAAAATTGTACCTATTCTTATATGGTGCTTTCTGTGAAAGATATTTGTTGGGCTAAAAATGATTGCAAATTACTAATTATTTTGTATCTCTCATTGCTTTAAGTCTGAATTTGAGATTTATTTTATTTTATTTTTGGTGGCACTGGGGCTTGAAATAAGGGCCTCAGTGCTTTCTAGGCAGGCGCTCTACCACTTGAGCCACTCTGCCAACCTGATTTTGAGATTTTAACATACACTGTCAAAGTTTTGAGATACATTTCCAATTAAGACTTCTATTTTTGTGATCCACAATCATTTCAGGAATATGTCATAATGAAAAAGAAAAAAACTTATAAGTTAAGTAATATAGTGAAATCCAGGATGCATTGGTTGTCACCATGCACCTGGTCTCAGAATAGCAATTATATTGGATCTTATCTATTCATTACACTTCCATCTTCTGTATTTCTAACCCTATATGTCTTTGTTGCTCTCAGAATAGTAGAGAAATACCATAAGGGACACTTTCACATTTTTGCCAATTCTTGCCTCTTGGGGAATGTGATAAGTGATGTCCTTGCCTACTCTCCTCTCCCCACCGAAAGTACTGAATGATAGTCTTGGTTTGAAGAGAGTATACAGTTTATCAGTTCATCAACTTCTCTGTTCCTGGTGGCAACAAAGGCATCAGTTGATCACAGGAGAGTTTAAGAATTTAAAAAATCACTAATCATGTGCTATGACTATTATGAGCTCCATCCTGGAGTAAGAAAGATTTTATTTAAGAAGTAGGAAGGGAGCATGGAGAAGTCTCCTGTTACCTCTTTTGTTCCTGAATCTAGGTATTAATAGCTATATTCTGTGCTTTGGTTTTTTTTTTTTTTTCTTTTTAAGGAAATAAACAGGCTTGTCCATTGTGCCCTGTGGAGAAATTCAGAGCTTGTAATAGTCATAAGCTTCGTCGTCACCTTCAAAATTTACACTGGAAAGTCTCAGTTGAATTTGAAGGTTAGTATTTGAAGGGTAATATTTTTGTGCTAAAGAGTGATATACATGAAATTCAGCATTTATTGTTAGTTTGGGAGACTTAGTGTGAACATTATCAAACATTTTCATTTTAAATTTATGAAGGATTTAGTGCCTCTACTTTTAATGTATTTAATAAAAGTAGTAGCCCCATCAGCAATCCATGGCAGAAGTTTAGTGTAGCAAACATTTATTAGGCATCTATCTGTTCTGAACTGGGTACTCTATATTCTGGTCCAAGAAATCCATGTTTACTGAACAATGTTTTAAGCTAACACTTTTCCTTTTGTAGTACAACTACTATTTTAAATACTTTTGAAGACAAAATAAAATGCAGTAAAACAAGAAAATAAGATGGTAAATATTTGACATATTTGATACATTGTAAGGTCCTTTGTAAATGCAGCAATGTACCCCTACACATCACAATAATAATTTTTAAAAAAAGAAAAGAGAAAAATGTATAAATATTGGAAAAAAAGTGATAATCTATTATTTTGCTGATAGCATAAAAAAGCTAGAAGAATTAAGAGTATTCAGAATGATGGTGAAATATAAGATAAATACCAAAAATCATAGCTTTTCTCTACTGACAGAAATTAGAAAAGTACACCAATTATAATAATGGCAAAAATGTAGTTTGAGGGGAATAAATTTAATGAGAGGAATTATAATGAAAAGAATAAAGTTAAAGGACAAAAAAACCCAAGCTTTTATTAAGTTAAAACTTCCCAGATTCTAAGATAGTGAACTAAGCAAAGTATGATAGCATTTTAGGAAAAATGTCTAGTAATGGTTCTTAAATTTTAAAATTCACATATCAGCCTACCAGGCAATTTCTCTCCTAAGTGCCACAGAAGTAAAAGAATCAATAGGCAAGGATAGATGTACAAGAATATTCATTCTACCATGTACTTCATAACAAAAACTTTGAATTACAAAGGCTAGTTGACTAAATTAGGGCATATATCATGAACTATAATGCCATCAATGAAAAGAGTATATTCTGTATATACCAGCTAAATTGGAAGTATTTCTACAATAAACTACTAATGAAAACAGCAATGTATAGGAAAGGTTTTACAGTATTCCATTTGGATGAAACATGTTTATATCTATATATATATTTGTGTGTATATATATTTACACTTGTATATGATTATGTCAGCACAGAAATTGTTAAATAAAGTTGTCTGGCATTTCAACCAAACTGGATGAAATGGCTAGTATGAGATACCCAGAAAAGAAGCTAGAAGTATGCCAGAATGACTTTTTTTTTTTTTTTCCAGTACCAGGGCTTGAACTCAGGGCCTACATCTTGAGTCAGTCCACCAGCCCTTTTTGTGTTAGGTATTTTTGAGATAGGGGCTTAAGAACTATTTGCCCAGGTTGGCTTCAAACCACTGTCCTCCTGACCTCTGCCTCCTTTGTAGCTAGGATTACAGGCATGAGCCACCAGTGCCCAGCAAGAAAGATTTTCTTAGTAGTCCTGGTATAAAAGTTTACAAGTAGTTATTTAGGGAAAAGGAAATTAGAGATTAATTCAGGCCAGGTGTGATGACATATACAGGTAATCCCAGCTACTTGGGAGGTGGAAGCAGGAGGATCATGAGTTCAGGGACAGAAGAGGTCAAAGTTAAGAGTCCCTAATCCAGAAATAAAAAAGGTGGGGGTATAATTCAAGTAGAAGTAACATATTTGCCTAGCATGTTCAAGACCCTGGGTTCAATCCCCAGTATTGCAAGAAAAAAAAAAATAAAAAGAATATATAGTAAACCATGTTGGCTTCTTAGCATAAGAAAGTTGTTATTTTAATTTACAAGGTTTCCTTCACATTCTTCATTTAGGCCATTATTTAACTTTAAGGTTTGGTCTCTCTCCAAGTTATTTTCTTCTCAAATGACCTGTGATTTTCTCATGTACATTGGGCTGTAGGGTTTTTTCACATGATAGTGATTTGGTAGATGGTGAAGATATGATAGTTTTTGCCTTAATAAGCAGGCTTCAAAGTAGTTGGCAAATATGTTGAGGGCAAAGCAACAAGATATACTGAGGAATGAGAGCTGTGAAAGAATGAGAGCCAAGAATGTTTGGGTTTGGGACTTGAGCAAGTAGAAAAATGGAGCTGTCCTTTACTGAGCTGGAGGCAATTGCATTAGGATCATATGTGGGGAAGAAGGCCAGGACCTCAGATATAGGCATCAAAGGTTGAGATGCATCAAAGTTAAGGTATCAAGTGTCCAAGAGGCTATACAAATGTGGAATTTCAGGGAGGGAGTGGTTGGGACTAGAGACATGCATTTGGGAGCTGTCAGAATAAGATGGCATTTAAAGCCACAAGACTTAATGAGATAACTGTAAGTGTGCCTAGTAATGGAAAAAAAACAAGCCCTGAGTTCTAGGAGACTTTAGCATATACAAGTAAGAAATGATTTGATGTAAAGCATAAGAAGAAAAGAGAAATGACTTAACGGCTTTGGGTTAGAAGAGACTGTAAGTCATTATCATCAGTGAATTCAAGTATGAAATACTTGATATATTGTAAGAACTTTTGTAAATGCCACAGTGTACCCCAGCACAATATAAAGGAAAAAAAAAAAAACCACTCCAGATAACTAAAGAGACCTGATTCAAGAAGAAGCAATAGAGGCCAGGGATGTAACTCAGTGATAGAGTACTTGCCTAGTGTATACAAGGCTCTGGGCACAGCACCTAAGTTTTGAGATGCTGACCAGATAATCAGCCATAGGTCTTTAACAGGCAATTGTATATAGGGTTCTGGCTCTCAGGAATGAGTTAGTAACTACAGCTATAATTTGGGATTCCTTCCCATAGGAGAGAGAGTAGAAATCATGAAAGGACTTAGTTATCAAAGGAAAAAAGTCACATAGCCCACATTTTAGGGTATGAGAGAATGCAAAACATTTATAATGAAGATTAAGAAGAATGGGAAGAGAGAACCAAGATCGCCCCATATTATAGATGGGGTGATACATTTCATCTATATAATGAAAAATATAGATTGAGACAAAGAAGGTGAAGCTTAAGTTGGCAGAGAGTAGATGATAAAACTGAATGCCAGAGAAGCTAAACAACTAATCTTAACAACTAAGATAAAAGCAGTTATGACAGAATCAGAATTTGAATATGGATCTTCTGTATTTGTATCTATCCATTCATCCATTTAGCTCATGAATAAACTAAAGCAGTCTCATTTAAGTAATTATGATGTCACAAATACAAGGATAATCCCAATTGTTCTGACATAAAATTTGCTTGTAATGTTTAATGCTAGCCAAATATTTAATGAACACTAATAAAACAGCCATTCTTCATTCTAGGTTACAGGATGTGCATTTGTCACTTACCTTGTCGACCAGTAAAACCAAATGTTATTGGAGAACAGGTAATTGGATACTAGATTTTTTTATTTTTTAATTTAGTCTTTTTAAGGAAGTGCAATTTTTTTTACTTGCTTTAAAAGTATACTTGATCTTATCTAAAAAGCCAAGAAGCTTTTTTTTTTTTTTTTTTTGTGGTATTGAGGCTTGAACTCAAGGCCTTCACCTTGAGCCACTCCACCAGCTGTTTTTTGTGAAGGGTTTTTTTCAAGATAGGATCTCATGGAACTGTTTGTCCGGGCTGACTTTGAACCATGATCCTCTTGGTTGCTGCCTCCTGAATAGCTAGGATTACAGGTGTGAGCCACCGGCGCCTGGTAAGAAGCTAGTCTTGATTTAAAATTAAAACATGCATGTTCAGCAGTGAGGTTTATTTTAAAATTCTTATCTGAGTACTTTCAGATGATCACAATAAGAAAAATATGAAATTTTGGAAAAAAAGATTATTGTATTGAACTTCTCATTTTAGTATTTAATTTCAGTCAGATAAATTGTTCTTGTGTTTAAAATGAAAATTCACCCATTTATTAATTTTGGAATGTAGAGTTTAAGCAGAGAGTATTTTTTAAAATAAATTTGATCATGAAATAGGAGCTTCAAATTTCTGTGAGTTAATGTCTCAGTATGTTTCATTTCATATTCATTCTCCCTATGTTCTTCCTTTTAGGCTTAATTTAAAAGACTCCAGAAACTGAAATATTAGTAACTTTAAAAATGCGTGTGTTTATTTTTAAGATAGATTTGACCCATGGAGAATAGAAATTATAAAAATTTTAGTGGCATTATCCTGAATGCATTTTATCCTGTTGGTCATCGTTTTTCATTTTTCTTTTGAATCACTAAAAATAGTAAAATGCTAGGATAATAGTGTTCCTTGGGCTGCAGATGTAGTACTAGAGTACTTGCGTAGCATGCATGAGCACCACAAAATCAAAACAAAACCCATCAGGATATCTTTAAATAAGATTATCCATTACTATAAGAAACTAAATGTAAAGGTCGGGCATGGTGGCATTGCATGTAATCCCAGCACTAGGAAGGCTGAGGCAGGAGAATGGTCAGTTCCAGATCAGAGTGGATTGATATATAGATATAGATATGAGAATAATAATAGATATAATAAGAAAAAGCAAATGTAGTGGCTATTCAGAAGTCACCATCCCTAATTATTATACCACATTTTACTGTTATCTGTGCCCTTACAGTTGTCTACATCTGTTTATATCTGCATGGTGTCAGTGCTGTCTAAAGATACAGTGATATATATCTCTTTCCAAACTCACATTCAGTGATGTCACATTGGTAACTTGAAATCTGTGATAATTACAGCTTGAAATTGGCCTTGGTAGAGTATACCACAGAAATCTGCAAGTACTGCAAGTCAAAGCTTTATTTTCTTTGAGAGCCAGTTAAACATTCACCAGAATTCCACTGTTAACATTGGACCTTTTTTAAGTACAGCTTATAGAAAATACACTACAGTGGTTTACTGAATACAATGTATGGGACAAAAAACTAGAAATTTTTAATTTATGGCCTATTACAAAGTCAGATTAAAAAGCACATGTAAAGTGCAGGTAATGAAGTTATTCTTTCAGATTCACATGACATGATGAACATCTTCTGTACTGTTAAACCCAACATGTATTTGCAACTTCAAACCTGTATTTCATTGTCTTAGTAACCTATGAAAATTAAATACTCTATTTGATAGGTATCCAGTAAAATGGGTGCCCATTATCATTGTATCATTTGCTTGGCAACAATCTCCAGAAGGACTGATATGCTAGGACATATTAGGCGCCATGTGAATAAAGGAGAGACTAAATCCAGATATATTGCTGGTAAGTTGAACAATCTCATTAACATAGCAGTAAAAAGATCTTAAATAATGGCCAACTGATTATTTTCAGACATTAGGCAGATAAAATATATATTGTTTTATCTAAGTAACTTACTTGCCTACTAATCTGTTACTTCACATTTTTTTTCCTTTGAGGTTTCCAGTAACTTTCAGTTGTTCTTTTTTTTTTGTTGTTTAATTTTTTAAAATTTTTATTATTGTTCTACTGGGGGTACATTGTGACATTTACAAAAGGACTTCCAATATATCTTAGTTAAATTCATCCCCTCGATAATTCTCCAGCTGTTTTCAACAGATGTTAATAAATGGTATAAAAAATGCAAGTGGCCACTCAAGAAAATATAGGTGTCTTAATGAAAGATTATAAAATTATATTCCTACTGACAGCTTTTATGTCAATAGCTGTGTTGTACTTGTTGTTGGAAAATACTGGAGAAAGGATGCAGAGTGAAATAAAGGTCTTTATACTGAGTGATACCAAGTCTGAAGAATTAAATAGGCCCTAAAGTGTCACTTAATTGGTCTAAAGCATTCTTTTTGTCACCAAACTTTATTTGCCAAGGTTGGTGTGAGATATGTGACATGCTTCTTTAGTGAGTGTAGGGGAATATATAACAACAGTAGGAAAAGTTATTCTCAGCATCATAGAAAGAGAAATATGGCTACCTCATTAACATTCTGATTATAATTTTATTTAAAAACCACACACAAAGAATTGTAATTATTTTTCACATATATTACATATGTCTTATTTCTTGAACATTTAAAACATGTACATATTTAAACATCAGTATTTCATTTGAGTTTATGGCTGAAGTATTCTAATGTAGAATCATTTTTTTCATTAATGCCACTTGAAGGCAGTTTATGATTTAAAATTATAATCATGAGATATTATTTTAAAGGTTTGTATGTTCAAGAAGTACAGTGATTCTCGTTCAGCTACTCTTAACTAGTAGAATGTAACCATACAGAGACACTCATTTTCTAATGATTACACCACAATAAAATATACTTAGCAACCAACCTTTACAAACACAGTTTGCAGCAGTTGATGAATCATAAAGGTATTTTAGGACCTGTGCTACCTTAGAATGATTGTTCTTAGCACATCCATACGATGTACCGATGTGCTAGGCAGTCAAGATTCAAGTGAAATGAACTTTCTTGCATTCACCACATACCTGGTGCAATGCTTTTCTAGAAACAGTGATGAATAATTCTGGGTTTTTTTTGTTTTGGTTTGGTTTTTATATAATAGTTATTTTTCAAAATGTATATTATTTTAGATGTTTAGAATTATTTTGTATTTCCCTGAATCTTTTTTTTTCCATTTTTAGCTTCTACCATGAAACCATCTAATGAAATTTTGAAGGAGACAGACACAGATGTACAAGTTTGTCCTAACTATTCTGTACCTCAGAAAACGGACTCCTATTTTAATCCCAAAATGAAACTAAATCGGTAAGATGGGTTGAAAATAGAGCTATGGGATGTTTCAATTATGAAAATGTATCTTCTTTTAAGCTTGATCAAATGTATTAAAATTTAAAACTAGACACAAAATGAAAATCACGTATTGTGATACTTTCTCAAAGTGATTGTTTCTTTTTCCTACCAAACCAGTTTCTTTGTCAGAGAGTAAAATAAACCTAACTTTATATAATGGAACCTGAACAACCTTGTGCTTTTGTGGGCACATTTTATTAATAAATAAATGCTCATTAAATAGAAATCAGTTAGATTTACAGTTAATTTCACAAATTTTTAGGTCTTATACTATTAAATTGGGAGCATGTTATTAGATCTCTTTTCAAAAGTCTACATTGATGAAGCAACAATATCCTTTCTTTTTCTTCTAGGCAGCTAATATTCTGTACATTGGCCGCTTTGGCTGAGGAACGAAAACCTTTGGAGTGCCTGGATGCTTTTGGAGCCACTGGTAAGTAAAGAAGCTTTTTTGGAATCCCATTTCATTTATCAGATTGGTACAGCATCTTAAAAGTTTATATGGATTTCATATCTACCAAAATGTTTTAATGTTAAAAATAATTGCTGGGTGCCAGTGGCTTATGCTTATAATCCTAGCTACTCAGGAGGCAGAGATCAGAAAGACTTCAGTTCAAAGCCAGCCCCACCAAATAGTTTGCGAGACCCTATCCAGAAAAAACCCAAAACCCATCACAAAAAAGGGCTGGTGGAGCAGCTCAAGGTGTAGGTCCTGAGTTCAAACCTCAGTCTGAAAAAAAAAAAATTAAGGATCTAAGGTAAAAATTTCTTACTGTTACAACTTTCAAATACATACAAAAGAAACTAGCATAATAAATGAATCCCTGTATTTCCATCACTCCAAAAGTAACCAATCCATGCCCAGCCCTGTTTTATCAATACTTTCACACTCATACTTCATATCTTAGTCCCTCTGTTCCCATTAATTTGAAACAAGTTATGGATGTATCTTATATAAATATTTAAGTTGGATGTTAAGAGATAAGGACTTTTTTTTTTTTTTTCAATTATACTGGGGTTTGAACTCAGGGCATTGTACTTGTGAGGCAGGTACTCTACCGCTTGTGGCTACACCTCCAGCCTGATGAGGACTTTTTAAAAAATAAAACTACAATATCATTATCATACCTAAACAATTAAGAATAATTTGTTAATATCACCAGTTGTTTAGGTCATCTCACAGTGTTTTTAAAAATTCAAATCAGAATCCAGAATATGTATTTTAATTGTCTCATGTGTAAATGTTTTTTCCACAAATTTGCTAATCATACTTGCACAGGGACCATGGCTAATCTCTATCATTTCAATTTTAGTATATGTGCTACCAAAGCAAGCCTAAATTTCCTCTGAGTCTGTGGTGTGAGTGTACGTGTGTTTGTTGACATAATAGATCTTTTGACCTGTAGTTTCTGAACGTCTGGATTTTTGAAGGTATTGTCATGGCTTATGTAACATATTCTTTTAGCACCTCTATTTTTTTAAATTGGTATTTTGATCAGATTCAGTTAGGAATCATTTTTTATTTCAAGAATACTTGTTTAGTATTTTAGTATTTCAAGAATACTTGTTTAGTATTTTGATCAGATTCAGTTAGGAATCATTTTTTATTTCAAGAATACTTGTTTAGTATAATCTGGAAGCAGCTAATAACTTTTTTGAGTTGTGGTGTTCACTGCCTGGCCTTCAATTTTAAAGTTGAGAACATAAAGACTTACAAATAGAAAAAAAAATGATAGAAACAGTAGAAAATCTCTAAAAAGGTTCCTGTACCCAGTCTAAGTCTTTCTACATAAGGATTACCCTCTGGGGAAGCTTGTACTAAAGGCTGAAAGCATTTGTAAGCTGTTGTAAACTCCTGTCCTCAGGAAAAAGCAGTGATTAAAAGTTAAGTGATTAAAGTTAAGTTAACTCCCATCTTTCTATGGTTTTGTGACCATAGGACATTGTGCTCAGTTTTCTCATCTATAAAAGTATGGGGACACTAGTATCCATACAGTAGTAAAGATTTAAGTAAATCAATAAAGTTAAAGTCATCACAGCAGTACATGGTAAGTAGCAAGTGCTACAAAAATATTAGATGTTATCTTATTACTACTGCTACTCCCATTATCATCATTAGTGATCTATCAGTATAAATATGGTAAAAGTGATGAGGTGATGCATCTAAGCTGATCATATTCTCTGAGCCACTTGGATGTAAAATTTGACTAATTTTCTATTTCTCCTTTTCCCTCCACTGACCCCAGATCTGTTTTAATTTTTCTTTTGTATTGTTAAGTCTCACTCTTTTCTATTCTGTATCTACTGATTAACAATTGGGTGACATTGATTGAACTCTTACTTCTAGTCATTTCTCTTGCTTCTAATTTATCTTGCAGGCTACTGCCAAACTGCCATTTCTCTTAGGTGGTACTGTGATATTGCTCAGTCAAAAATGTCATGCATCATTACTGCCTAGAGTTCAAACTGCTAATAGCAATTTAATATGTCCATAATCTAATCCCAGCCTACTTTTTCAAATTTATTTTCCAGTGTTTTCCCCTCATGTACCCTTTATCTTTACTTTTTTTTTTTTTAATCTGAAATCATTAAAGCTAGTCTCTAAGGAAGTTGTCTTCAGTCTTTCTTTTAACTGTTGTACGTGGCAATCACCACCTACACAGAAAACATTCTAGACTGACATTACTAAAAACACCCGAGCTGGGTGGTTGAGTGCTTACTTAGCCCTGAGTTCAAATCCTAGTACCAAAGAAAGAAAAGGGGGGCTGGTGGACTGGCTCAAGTGGTAGAGCACTTCCTAGTAAGTATGAGGCCCTGAGTTCAGACCCTAGTACTGCCAAAAAAAGAAAGAAAGAAAGAAATTCTCCAAAGAAAGAAAGGGGGAGAAGAAGGGAGGGGAAGAAAAGGAAAAAAAAAACAGTTCTGACAAAGTATGGTCACTTTTCTTTTTAACATGCCTTTGTAAACTTATATGAGGTTTGTAGCAGTCATTTTGCATGTTTGCCATTCTTAAAATGAAGATGTTAGAACTTATGCCACCATGAGTTTGTGAAGATACGAAAAAACATACACATAAACTCCATGACATACGGTAGATAATGAATTTTTTCCATTTATGAGACATGTATGGAGAAAATGGTCAGTAATCTAATACATGGGAGGTTATCTAATCCATATTGGCTGGACTTATGTCACCATTTACAACTGACAGTGTTCTTTTTTTTGGCAGCACTGGGGTTTGAACTCAGGGCCTCACACTTAACAAGGCAGGTACTCTTACCCCTTGAGCCACTCCATCAGCCCTATTTTTTTGTGATGGGTTTTTTCAAGATAAGTTCTTGCGAACTATTTGCTCAGGCTGGCTTTGAACCTCGATCCTCCTGATGTCTGCCTCCTGAGTAGCTAGGATTATAGGCGTGAGCCACTGGCGCCTGGCTGAATGTTCTTATGTATGACCAATTCAGTAGCAGTGAGAAGATGCTTTCTTATGGAATTCTTCTTCATCATTTGCTTACATATACAGAGTTGTTCTTTGTAATTCACAATGATGTTTTTGTGTACTACTTGCAAAATTGGGTGTGGAAAAGTTATGTTTCATATTTTCATTCATGAGGTTAAACTGCAGCAAGAAGGTTTCCAGCTATCTCCTTTCAGGCACAGTATCTCTGCTCTTCTTCATGTTGTATATTGGATAACTCTTAAGATGTTATTTGAAAAAAATGCTACATTGTAAGGAAAACAAGAGAAACAAAAACAGTATTATAAGAAGTGCTTATAAAAATCTCTTGGACACATTTTTTGTGTTAACTTTTTTTAGAAACTTTGTAGTGAGAAAGTAAGAATTATTTGTAAAAAATACTAAGATTTCAAATTAAGTTATTTATGAAAGTATCTTCTTTATTATACCATTTTTACTCTTTAACTACTACAACTTAAAAACTTACTTTCTTCCCTATATCTCCTAAGGAATAATGGGATTACAGTGGGCAAAACACCTTGGAAATGCAGTCAAAGTTACAATTAACGACTTGAATGAAAATTCTGTGACATTAATTCAGAAAAACTGCTATTTAAATAAATTGAAAGTGGTGGTGGACAGTAAAGAAAAGGAGGAAGGTGATCCTCTTGGAGAAGAGGAGGAAAATCTTGGTAATATTCAGGTGACCAAAATGGATGCCAATGTACTGATGCATTTGAGATCTTTTGATTTCATGTAAGTGAAAAATTTGCTATGTCATTAGCTAAACTGATCTGGAAATTTTTCATGGGTGGGGGTTAGTTGAAAATTCAGATAATTCATTGTTTATTTTGGCCTAAAATATGCAATAAAAAATTTTATAGCATTTCAAATAAAATAGGCACAAACTTTTCTTCTTAGCCTAATTTTTATGTTTGGTGTGTCACATATTTTATTACTAATATTTAAAACAAAATTATGTATTCAAAGTATATTTGCAGATTTGCAAAGTGCTTTCTTTTTTCGGTTTTTTTGAGACAGGGTCTTGCTATGTAGTCCAGGCTGGCCTTGAACTCCTTCAACTCACTCTGGCCCAGGTTGGCTTCGAACTCTCGATCCTCCTGCCTCCATCTCCCGTGTGCTGGGATTTAATGGCATGTGCCACCACACCTCAGCTTGGAAAAAGTACTTTTGAATCCATAGAATTTTATCATTAGAAATAAATACTGGTATAATTTTGGTTACGAATATGAATTTAAATATGTCCCTTTTCTTTTTGATTTTAGACACCTAGACCCTTTTGGAACATCAGTAAACTATCTAGACTCAGCATTCAGAAATGTAAGAAACCTTGGCATAGTGTCTGTGACGTCTACAGATATCAGCTCCTTATATGCCAAGGCACAGCACGTTGCCCGACGTCACTACGGATGTAATATTGTCCGAACTGAGTATTACAAGGAACTAGCAGCCCGAATTGTTGTAGCTGCAGTGGCAAGGTACCAGATTGCCTAGTATGTTTTAATGTATGATTAAAAGAGATAATATTGCAAATGAGTATTTATTTTATTTTTAAAAGTAAGCATGAAATAGGAAGTCTGTATCCCCTATGTGTAATCTTAGTGTGTTTTTAATCTTACTTTCTGTTAAAATTTTGTATCTGAAGTAGTTTACTCTCCAGCCTAAAATGTTACTAAGATAATTAGAAAAAGGGGCTGGCAGAGTGGCTCGATGGTAGAACACCTGCCTGACAAGCATGAGGCCCTGGTTTAAACCCCAGTGCTGCGAAAACAAATAATAAGTAAAGTAGTAAGAAGTCAAAGGTAAAAGTAAAAATTAATTTCAGATTTGTTTATTTCAATGTGTAGGAAGTAGCACTAAAAAAGGAAAAACATTGTTTTTTAGATTTAGAAACAGTTATTTGTTTTATATCCATGTCATCTTTACTTACACTAATTTAAATTAAAATTATGGCTTTTAAACTTGATTATGCAAAATGATCTTACAAGACAAGAAGCTTTCTGTTTCTCATCAGGATTTCTAAACAGTTGAAAACATGAAGAGTGTTTAAGCATCCTTCTATGACTATGAGAAGGATAATTTAATAATATAATAAAGTTGGACATTGACAGTATAGCTAACAGATGACAGAGCAGCTCTCCGCTTGCCCAAACACAAGTTCCACAGCATTTAGATGGAAATTTATGCCTCAGCTTAAATACAGATTATTAGACTTTAGAGACTTTCAGGGTTATTCCTAAGTAATTGAAAACTCTCATGCCAAGGATTAATGCACATATTTTAAATGCTTATAATGAAACATCAGCAAATTCAGAAGTGGTGTATCTAGTAGACCTTAATCTAAAAAGTCTATAATATTGATACTGAAAACGGCTTTGATTATTCATTTTTCACTGAATATTTAGCAGCTAGCATAATATCCTGCATATAGTTAGTAGTCAATAAATACATATTGGAAGAAGCTTTTAAAAGAAAAATAGATTAAGTGGAAGAAGGGTAATAGTTGATGATAGGAAACGATGCTGAAAGCCTGTTGAGATGTTACATAAGGGAAAAACATCAAGAAACTGGAAACCCTCCACACATTCTTTATTTCCTGTATTTCAAGTTGTGTAAAAGTTACAGGAATGATCTTTTAAAAACCCTACTACTAGAAATTGAATGTTCTAAAACTTACTGTCCAGGTCAGTATTATCAATATAATTCTAAACAAAGGAAGATGATAATTAAATAATCAAAATAATTAAAAATGTTTTACAGAGCTGCAGCCCGATGCAACAAAGGCATAGAAGTGCTGTTTGCAGTGGCTCTGGAACATTTTGTGTTGGTAGTTGTGAGAGTTTTGAGGGGGCCTACTTCAGCTGATGAGACAGCCAAGAAAATTCAATACCTGATCCATTGTCAGTGGTGTGAAGAAAGAATTTTTCAGAAAGATGGTAATATGGTAGAAGGTAAATTGAAGTTCCTCTCAAATGTGTTTTATGCTTGATTTTTCTATAAACCTCTATGACCTTCATTACATCCCTCATTATACAAATTGTTGTCCTTTGATTTTAACAATCACAGTGCTACCTTTGTTATTTACTATATTGGACTTCCTTTGATCAACAGATAAAACATTCTTGTGGATTTAAAGTTACTGCTATACAGTTATGCTCCCTAGTTCTGCCCTTTATTGAAACATCTATAAATAATTTAGTTTCCACTGTCAACTAATTTTGGGAACATAAGTCAAATTATCTCTGTCTAGACTATTACAAATAATTAATTTTATAAAAAGGATTTTCATGTTTCTGGCTAAATATAAAAGCCACTAGTTACAAAATTCATTCAATAAACATTTATTGAGTCTCTACTATTTGCCAGTCTTGAGGATACAAGGAAAAGCTTTGGCTGATGCCCTCATTAAGCAGTTCCCTATGTCCTGAGACATAGAAACAATTTTGCCCAATTTTCTGTTAAGTTCTTGGTATTTTTAATAAAGAACTTTTTACATATTAAAATTTAGCCCTTGTATGAATTACAAATATTTTCTCCCATTCTGTCACGTTGGTTTGCATCTTATTTGTTTATTTATTTATTGGATGTATAGGGTTTGAACTCGGAGCCTCATACTTGCTAGACAAGCATTCTACCACTTGAACCACTCCTCTGGCCCTTTTTGCTTTGGTTAGTTTTCAGGAATCTCATGGGTTTTTGCCCAGCGGGCCTGGACCATGATACTCCTACCTCCGTCACACTACTGCACTCAGACCTGTCTTATTGTTAAGATGGGGTCTTGCTAACTTTTTGCCCTCCATGGCCTTGAACCATAATGATCCTTCCCATCTCTGCCTCCCAAGTAGCTGGTATTACAGACATGAGCTAGCACGCCCAGCTTGCATCTTTCTTTTTTTAATGCAGAAGTTTTCTGTTGTTGATGTTGTGAAGTTAATCAGACTTTTATGTATTCTGAATTTTGCCTGTAATTAAAAAGGCCTTTCCTATTCTTACATAATCCAATGTAGATTATGTTCCACTGAATAGCCCACTGGCTCTTCTCTGAGAATTCGTTCCCTGTCTTATGCTAATTTCACCTGTTCTTGAACTTGTTTCTGGATTTGTTGCAGTGGTTGGGTATCTATTTACACACATCTGTCATACTGGTTTTTTGGTTTTTTTTTTTTTGTACTGGGGTACATTGTGACATTTACGGAAGTTCTTACAATATATCATAGTTGAATTCACCTCCTCCATCATTCTGCTTTACCACCCTTTCCTCCATTCCTCTAATAGTCCGAACAGGTTTCATTTTTCCATTTGTGTCATACTGTATTGATCACAGAGGCTTTTTAGGATGATTTCCTGTCTGTTAAGTTGACTTCTCAAAACTTTTTTTCAGTGTTACTGCTACTTGATCTTTTTTTTTTCTTTTCTTAATAAAAAAGTAAATAAAGGGCTGGGGGTGTGGCTCCATGGTAGAGTGCTTACCTATCATGCATGAGGCCCTAAGTTCAATCCCCAACACCACCATAAAACAAAACAAAATTATTTAAATGAAATAAATAACCCTGTTTGTATTTTATTTTGATAACATTAAGTTAGGAAAGATAGATGCTGTGATTTTGAAACTTCTTACAAACAGTGTGCTTTTCCATTTGTTCACATTCTTTAGTATGATGGTGGTAATGGAGGGCATTCTGTCGTGTTCTTTATTTTAGTGAATCTAAAATATCTTATAGTTGTGCATGTGCCATTTAATTTCGTTGGAAAACAAAGTAATACAGAAAGAAGTTACAGACCTATGACTCTGCTGGGATCCTGGGTCCTGCATATATCTATCACTGACTAATCAAATCAGTCATTCCAAGAAAGTTAGTGATCAATCCAAGAATGCCTTTAATAAGCCATTTGACATGGATTTCCACATCTCTTTTAAGCTTTAATCCTCTAATCTCTGTGATTTTAATAGTATGTCTGTATCTTCAAAGAGTTATCATTTAAAGTTTTAAAATACATATAAAATTCTTAGCACAATATCTGGCACACAGTAGATCCTCGTAATATAGTAGCTGCAAATGATTATTAATATAGTAACTACTACTATTTGCATTAGTCATTTCTTCTTGGGTTTTTCTATTTATTTTATCTATCTATCTATCTATCTTTCTATCTATCTATCTATCTATCTTTCCCCAGAAAACCCATATAGACAACTGCCCTGTAACTGTCATGGAAGCATGCCTGGAAAGACAGCAATAGAACTTGGACCTCTGTGGTATGTAATGAAACATAATAATACTCAAAATTGGTGTATTATTGATTTATTGATGCCAACTTTTGATCATGTGTAGCAAAAGGCAAGCAAATTTATATTCACTTTTTAAGTCTCAACAAATATTTATGTCTCCTCTCCACCTATGAACCTGGGATGTTTTCAGATTTTTCTCTTTTTCCCTAGTTTTTGACAAAGGTAAGAGGCAGAAGGGTAAAAGAGAAGCCTGGCTAATCTCAAACTAGATAATTCATTTGTGAATAGTAAGAAAGAGGCCGTTTAAAATTGATCATGGTTATACTGGGGGCATGGCTCAAGTAGTAGAGTGCCTGCCTAGCAGGGTGAAAGCCATGAGTTCAAACCCCAATACAGCATAAAAAAATAAAAATAAGATTGGTCGTTTTAAAACTAGGATATAATTATAAAATGATTTTGTAACTTTTCATAGAAGAAATAACTAATATAAAAGGACTGAGTAATAATTTTAAGAGAAGAGCATGTAAAAATGTCTGCTTTAAGTAAAGCTGTTCGAATGGGATACAACTATAAATATCTAACGTCTGCTTTTGCATAATTGGTAGCAAGTTATTGTGTTTTAATGCCTTGAAGTTAAATTGTATTTCATTAGATTCCTTACCTTACGCTTTTTTGTTATTAGTGATTCTTACAGAAATTCGAGATTGGTAACAACCCTGTGACATGAATGATTGCAAATTTCTCCCTCATTATTTTATAAAGCCAAGAATTAGCCATCTACTAAACCTAAAAAAACTGATGCAAATGATAAATATGTTTGTATTGATGTCCCTTCTTTTATTTTCATCCCTTATAAAGATTCTTAAAGAGTGGCAGAGCCAGCCTTATCTTCTAGTTCTGTCTTACCTGTATCATCTGCTACTCAGTGATCTTATTGTGATCAAAAAACTGGAGAAATTAAGAATAACAGGTAACCCCAGTACTACAAAAAAAAAAATTACAGATTTCTGGATTTAGAAGGAAGATCTTCTACCACAGCTCCCTCATTTTACAGATTCAGGAATTATAGCAGTGTTTTTAAGTGCTTACTAAAACTGATTCCCTCCCTCCCCCAAATTCTGGCCCACAGTTAAGGCTAGAATTTAGTTTTCTCACTCCTAGGACTGAGTTCTAAATCATAACTTACGACTTCCTCTTTCAGAGCCATTGTGAATGCTTTTATTCTTATCCAGAATACAATCCCTTTCTCCCCCATCCCTTATTCAAGTTGTACTTCCCTTTGAAGTCTCTCCTTAGTGTTCAGCCCAAAATAATTTCTAAGTCTCTTTTAGCATATCTTATATTGGTCATTCATTTGACACTTGGAAATCCTGTATGTTTACTAACCCTAATAATAGCTACTGTTCGTTGAGGATAATATACTTTGTACTAGGCATTGAACATAATGCTGTCTCATTTGACTCTCATAACAAGTTTGTGAGTTTTAGCTTCAATTTATCATGAGGAATACAATACTCAAAAGTAGTAATTTCTCAAAATTACATAGTAAGTGGTAAAGCCAGGATTGGAATCCAGGTTTATCAGACTTGGCATTTCATTTTTCACCAATTATACCTATGATTGTCTCAATAAATGGGGAGCATCCCAGATTGACCCCTGGGCTGTTTTTGATCTATACCACAACTATGCATACCAGAGTTCAGATTCACTCTTACTGACTTGATTGTACATTGTATAAATCTCTATATTACGTTATGCTCCTGTCCATATCCTGTCTAGATTCTTAGGCTTTTATAGAGTCAGCCCTGTATTTTATATTTTATATTTTAGTATAAAATATACTCCTCCACATCCCCCACCCCATGTGACATAGTTCTGTACAACTTATAAGGCTCAATAAATTCTTGTTGATTTACTATAAATGAAGTTTCCTTGGCTAATCCTACTGGCATGATAAAAAAAAAAAGAGTGGGAAAATACAATATAAATAATTTTAAGTCAACAGTCCTTCTTGTTACTAAATTTAGAGACTTATTTTTTCTCAAACCCAGTTCTCTATGTATTCTTTTCTTTTTCAGGTCCAGTTCCCTTTTCAATACAGGATTCCTCAAAAGAATGCTATTTGAATCACTTCATCATGGTTTAGATGACATTCAGGCCCTCATAAAGACATTAATCTTTGAATCAGAGTGTACACCTCAAAGTCAATTTTCAGCTCATGTAACTTCAAATTTCAATAAGCAAGGTGACTAAACACTAGCTTTCTAGCATACGGATTGGTTATTAAAAATTGTATATTTTTGATATTCTAATCAAAAGCAAAATAATAGCATGCTTTAAATAAATCCCTTCTAAAGAGCCTAATCATAGTTCTTTAATTGCATAGTTTTCCTAAGATTTGTACTCAGAAGACTAAAAAGAGTGTGATTTTATTAAAATAATCTCCTTTAAAAAAATTTATTAGATTAAAAGAACTAAGTCTTTTGTAACTTTATTATTCTGTATCTATTTTCTAGAAAGAAAAACCTTAGAAACTATAGGATTTTTATAGCCAAAAGTTTTGGTAATGTCTACTGAAATACAGAAGATAGATTTGTCACTCAGTACATCTGTGTCTTTTTCCCCTCAGTATTAATAGGCTTTTGTAGATTTCTCTGGCTGTTGATAATAAGGGTGAGCCTGTTAAATATCCTAGTGCTCTTATAAGTAATTAAGGAGAAGAAGCTGCTGTTATAAAAGGTTAAAATGCATAATTCTTGCAGCCTGTTTTGTCCACAGAATCTCTTGTATATGTACAAAAGCAGTGTGGATGGAATTTCATAAACTTTAATTTCAACATTGAATTGTTCTTTAATGTCATCTACAAGTATCATTTCTTCATTTGTTTTCATTTTAGAAGAGAACGGTGTATTTATCAAAACTACAGATGATACCACAGTAGATAATTACATTGCACAAGGTATGTATAAATTGTATGTAAATACATATATACTATGTACATTTTAGTAAAAAAAAAAAGCATAGAGCAGAAAGGTAGGAAGAAAGAGATGGCCTTGATAGCCATATTAAAATTCATTGTCATCTTATACTGATGACAAAACCACAATAAAACTTTTTATCAGCATTCACACAAGTTCACAATTTCTATTAACATGTTCTTGGGTCACATCTCTAATATGGGGTGATCCTTCCTGGAGAACTTGAAGAGCCATGTGAACTGAAGTAAGAAAAAAATATGTACGATAAAGTTACAGATTAAGACTAAGTTTTATTCTAACTTTTAAAAACTTGTTCAATATATGATTTATTCAGTTGATTAACCAGAAGACACTATTCTCCAGCCATAAGAATTTATTATATATTCTCTTACTTTAAGATGTGTGCATACTTTAAATATAGCAGTGTTAGACTGAAAATTCGTATCAAAAGGGTGTCTTGAATATAGGTTAAAAACAATGAACATAGCCAGCATTAAGGTTGAAAGAGCAGTGGCCTTTAATTACAAGCTCTAATTTTGTAATATTTGCTCAGTAGTTTAGTACTGACTTTCAAAGAGAAGATAACTAAAATTCCTATTAGGAGCATATGGCTTGATAAATTTTCCACAATCACGTTCATTTGGCACCTTCAACTAATTTGCTTGCACACAAATCACCTAAACTGATATAGTCTATTTAAGTAAATTCTCAGTTGGAAGACCAATAGAGAGGCATTTTGAGATACTGTAAAGAACATTAGTTCATTTTGTTATTTGTGTAACCTTACCCAGATCCCTCAATTTCAAAATTGTCTTAAATCCTTTTTAGAATAAGTTAAAGTTTAAATATGCTTTAAAAGTATTTAATCTATTTAAGTTTTCTTACATGTCAGTTAAGGAAATTAGATTAATCTTTATTAGCACTTCTATAACTATAAAATTATGTGTTTATTCTTAAAGTCTGGTCTATCAGCACAACATAGGGAGAAAAATTCCATGTTGTGCTTCAGATAGTTACTAGTACAAAGGTGTTATGCTGGGATTGTTTTTGACTCAGACTTTTGTACAATTTGTTCTAAAGTTGGGTATATATCCTTTCACTATGTGCCTTGTTAACTTCATGTGAGGCTGCAATCAAATTGGTGTCTCAAATTGTCATTTTTTTCATGTAAAAAGGCAACAATTCAACAGTAATAATGTCAATTATTGTTTCTGAAGATGTAAGATTTGACCATATACCTATATATAATCAAGAGTTAGCAGGGGGGAGAAATGACCCAAGCATTGTATGCATATATGAATTAAAAAAACAAAACAAAACAAGAGTTAGCTAGGAGCTGGGCCCTGGTGGCTCATGCCTGTAAATCCTTGCCACTTAGGAGGCAGAGAACAGGAGGATCTCAGTTTTAAGCCAAACTGGGCAAATAGTTCACAATACCTTATCTCAATATACCCAATACAGAAAAAGGGCTAGTGGAGTGGCTCAAGTGGTAGAGTGCCTGCCTAGGAAGTGTGAAGCCCTGAGTTCAAATTCCAGCACTGCAAAAAAAAAAAAGTTAGCTAGGCATTATAGCACCTGTCTGTAGTTCCAGCAACTCAGGAGGATCACTTGAGCCCACAAGTCCAAGACTAGCCTAGCCAATACAGTGAGACCCCATCTAAAATAAAAAATGACAAATCAATCAAACAAAATCTTATTATAGTATTGGATATTTGAACTATTTTATGTGTGTGTGACTTTTGGAAAGATACATGCCAGAACTTAGTAGCCTTCTTTCACTTAAAATGGAAAACTAACATACCATAGTGAAAAATAGGCAACACAGTCATAAATTGTATCTTTATCAGTTTTTTTGTCCAAGCTCTTGAGACTTTTTTGCATTGTTTTTATTTTAAGTTCATTAAAGATCTACTGTGTGTCCAATACAAGGCAGTAAACAGAGAATACCAGAATAAAAAAAATGAAGGACATTGTCCCTACAAATTTTGAATGTAATTTTAGGGAGAAAGGATTTACACATGTCCGAGACCTACATTCACGAAACAGGAAAAGGGGGGAATTGACAGTACATAATCAAGCTCTGAGTATTGTAGTATCAACAATAATGAACTTTATGAAGTGACTGGCCCACTGTTCATAAATGGGCTTCCTGTAGGAGATAGAAAACTAAGACATAGGCTTGGAGCTGAAGAAGGTAGAAGTTCTGCCGCAGCAAATGGTTAAATATTAAAATTGTATGAGTAAGGACAGTGATAATACTTAAGAGTAAATTACCTCATTGTAGGAGTTGAGATTGAATAGGAACATTGAAATGGTGTGCCAAAGGATTTAGACAAGATAATATATAGTTGTAAAAGTATTAGGCTTGGATGGTGTGTGTGTGTTTCCGAAGATTGAACTCAGGGCCTCTACCACATGAGCCACTTCCCCAGTTGGCTTATAATTTTTAAGAGAATGCTAACTGGTATATGTTTGTGTATGTTTCAGGAAAGAGAAAAAGTAATGAAATGATTACAAATTTAGTCAAGAAGCAAAAGACTGATGTCAATACTGAACATCCTCCTTTTTATTACAATATTCACAGACACAGCATTAAAGGAATGAATATGCCAAAGTAAGACAGCCGGTGAATGGCAAAGTATATATTTCATATTTTAATAACATTGTGTTACATAAACATACAAGAGCCTAATTATTTCTTCCTTTCCTTATTGCAGATTAAAAAAGTTCTTGTGCTATCTTTCTCAAGCAGGCTTTCGAGTAAGCCGAACTCATTTTGACCCAATGGGTGTTCGTACAGATGCACCTCTGATGCAGTTTAAATCTATCCTTTTAAAGTACAGCACCCCCACTTACACCGGAGGACAGTCAGAAGGCCATGTTCAGTCAGCATCTGAAGATACAGTAGCTGATAGAGTTGACACGTCAGTGAACGATAAAGCAGAGGCCAGTGGCTGCAGAAGATGGTAAATGTAGGTAAATGTGGATGAGCTTTTATTCTCAGGAGTCTGGATAGATGGCCCAGAAGTTCTACACCAGCTGTAGTTCTATTTTTTCAATTCAGTTGTATAAAAATAAAAAAGAAAACCAACAGTGCTGTTTTCATTCAGAAAATTAGCTATTTCTAAGTTAGCTGGTTTGGGAGCTTTGCTTCTCATGTTTTTCTTATGTTAAAAAAAATTAATGGAAACATTTCATAAAGTTTCTGACTGGGATCACCCTACTGTTTTTATGTTTGGGAATTTCGGTATATTATGGAAGCTATTTACTTTTATTTTTGTTGTCTTTGGGATCAAACCCAAGATTGGTAGGCAGCAATCCACCAAGCAACACCCCATGGTTCAAATAATTCTGCCTCAGCCTCCTGAGTAGCTGGAACTATAGGCACAAACTACTGTGCCCACCTTATTCCTTACTGTTCCTAATCACTTATATATTTTAACTAATACATGTTGTTTCTCTGTACGCATATACAAAATGAAGCTGAAGCCTTTGTATATTAAAATGACCCTGAATAGAAGAGGAGGAAAAATATTCTTCCAGGTCACTCAAGTATTTCACAAGTACAACACTGAAATACTTCCCTATTTTTAAGAAATCATACTTCTCCATACTGATCTTTTTTATTACTAGCTTTTGAGAAGAAATACTTGTCTGAGACAAATTTTTTATAAGTTCATAGTCTAGATGACTAAACTTCAGAGTAGGACTTTTGTCAAAATAAGTACATTATTCTAATATATAATAACTTCACAAGTAATAAAAAAAAGCACGATAGAGATTTTATGATAAACAGTTTGGGTGATCTCATGGAACTCTGTCAATGCACGTACAATAGCCACTGCCTAGCTGTGCCACTACTCAGAAGTAAAATTTTTCACCTTATTAAGTGAGTTGTTTTGCAGGGGGGGAATTTTTTTTCTTTATTTTTGGTTTTGGTTTTTTGAAGTTTGTGTGTACATTTTTGTATAAATAGCTCAGGCTAACATTCTATAAAAATTAGTTGGAAAAAAATCATTCTTGCCACATTTGAATATGAGTTTAGATGAAAGGGTTTGTATAAACTTTAGTTTTTTGACTGAAGGATTTAGTCCATGTTTACCTTTAAGTATTTCTCAGGGGAAGTCACTTTTTTTTTTTTTTTTTTTTTTTTTGTGGTACTGGGGTTTGAACTCAGCTTCACACCTGCTAGGCAGGCATTCTATAACAAGCAAAGGTAAATAATTTCTTATAACCATTAAGCTGGGAGAGGGAGATACAGTTATAACAGTACCTAAGGAAAAGCTCTCCTGTGATGTAAAAACTCTGGAAAATGAGAAGTTAGGTGAACATAGAATATTAATTATTCCCCAAAGGACCATGTTTTTCCTTTGTCCAATTAATTATACATTCCAGCAAAATGAAGGAATAGATAAATGCAAGTTATTTTCTGTAATGACTATTAAAAAAAACTCCACTTAACAATTCTTGCTAGTTGTAATTACAACTTAAAAATGAGCACAAAAAGAAATAATTAGTTACTTCTTTTTGTATAATTAAAAGAAAAAATTACTATAAATCAATAAGAACTTGGATTATCTGACTTTGTAAATATTGATATATCAGTCTTGAATTTTGCTAAATGCTTATCAGCATGAGATTCATTGCTGAGTTGCTGAGTTGGGTTTTATGCAAGGAGCCCAATTTGATACAGAAACATGTAACTTACCATAACTTAAAATATACATGTATTTCAAGTGATAGAGCACTTCACCCTAGGTTCAATCCCCAGTACAATAAAATAAAATTGTATTATATATATGTACATATAATACATATATGTACATATATATATATTTTGCACACAAATGTGTGCATTGTATTAGTTTCACATATAAAGGCAGATTTTCCAAAGAAAAGCTTTGTAGGAGGTAGTTTGCAACTGTAAGGTACTACATCAAGCTAAAGAGGAAATACTTTAATACCTGTACTAATACTTTGTTCCCATAACAATAGTAATTTGAAATACTGCAAATGTTGATCACATTGTCAAGTAATGCCAGCTGTATCCCTTCATTAAATTTCAAGAAACCAGACTCGGGGGGTAGGGTAGCTCAGTGGTAGAATGCTTGTTGAGCATGTGCAAGACCTGAGGTTTGAGCCCCAGCACCACACACAAAAAAAAAAACAAAACCTAATGTGTTCACTCTGCTAGTTGCTTATGTTGATATTTCTGATCACTCAAAGTGGGAGAAGTAATCAAAATATGGTTTGGGAGCCATTTTGGTGGATGTGGGTCAAAACTGTTTACCAAAGTGACTTCCATAAAACTCTAAATAGATGTGTGATGTTCTGGTTCCTAGAGATTAAAATTAACCCAAGACCAGTTCAGTAATTGCAAAAGGTTTAGGAATTTGTCTGCGTTACTTTGGAGAAGGTGAAGAGAAAGATACATAATATAAACTTGAGACTATGTCAAGGTCCTTTCTCCATGGACTCAGGGAAGTGATGCCTGGGAACTGGATGAGGCATCATGACTACTGTAATGGCTCAAGTCAAACCTATAGCTTTTAGGTCTTTAAATCAAATAGAATCATGGAATCCATTTATTTTGATTCTATAGATCACCTGATCAATTAACCAAGGCCATATTTTATGTTAGTCTACTGATTATCCTGTGAGTTCTACTGCCTATTATAGTAACCATGCCCACCTTGCTAGTCTAGCAATTAAGTAAACTATTGTTGTGTGCTGCATAACAATGTTGCAGTCACAGATGGGCTGCATAGAGTGGTTCCACAAGATTATAATACAGCTGAAAAATTCCTATCACCTAGTAGTACTGTCGCCAATGTAATGTAGCACAACGCATTACATGTTTGCAGTGATGCTGGTGTAAACCTACTGTGCTGCCAGTTATATAAAAGTGTGGCATATGCAGTTGTGTACAGTACATAAAACTTGGTACTGACAATAAACAAATGTGTTTCTGGGTTTTGAACTTTACTGTACTATTTTGGGGGGGAAAGGGTTAAGACAAGGTCTCTCTCTCTCTCTCTCTCTCTCTCTCTCTCTCTCTCTCTCTCTGTTTAGCTCAGACTGGCCTCAAACTCGAGATCCTTCTGCCTCAGCTTCCTGAATGCTGGGATTACAGCATTACCATGCTCCACTCCTATATTATACTTCTAATCATTTTTTAGTGTAAACTTTTTTAAAGTTTATTATGAAATATGTCATGTTACACAGGCAGCACCCTCATGTCTTGTTTACATGTCTCTTGGTTGCATCCAGTGATGGACGTTTACCATCTATGTTTTTGTAAGTACGTTCTATAAGACATTTCCAATGCCATGAAATTGCCTATCAAAATCCTCAGAATACACCTGTTGCTGCTTAGCAGCGCACGACTGTACTTTGTCTCATACAAAGTACAATAAACTTAGTCCATTTCAACTGAAGCATTTCCTACTGCCATCCCTGGTGTGTGACATACTGCCAGGCATAGTGCTCTGCTCATCAGTGGTTTTCTCAATGCCTTGGTAAAGAGCTGTCCAGTTTCTCATGAAGGACTTTGTTAGAGAATCACAAATATTAAATCCTCTCAAACATTCCCCTTCTGCCTTTGGTTTCCTTTCTCTAGATCAGGAGTTTCTAGAATATCACCTCTAATTTAGATGAGCCATTGCTGAGTCAGAATCTCAACCAAGTAATCAGGTCCACCCTGTGTTGTTCAAAGCAGTCTTTGTCTTCTATTCCCGTAACTCACTATTATAGACAGACTAATTCATAAACAGTAGTTACTTACGCTCATGGTTCTGGAGACCAAGTCCAGGAGCATGATGCCAGCTTCTACTCAGCATCTGGTGAAAGCTTTCCTGCTGCGCGGTCAAAGGCATTACACGGCAAGATAGAGCAGTTGTGTCAGAGAGCTGCTCTTTGTAACAGAACCACTCCCTGGTAACATTTGTTAATCCATTCATGACAACAGAGCTCCATAAACCCAGTTACCTCCCAAATTTCTTACTTCCAAATACCATTAGCATATGACTCTGGGGATTCAGTTTCCAACATACGAATTCCGGGAGACAAATTCAAACCAGAGCAGTACCCGTTAATACTTTGGCCCAATTTAAAATCGTTTTCTTTCCTTCTAAGATCCTGTGTACTTGGGAATCTATTTCCACAGGTATTCTCTATCAGCATGTATGATCACAATGAGCTTTCCATCAGGCCACATCTTGCTTTTGTACCCTTGGGCCATGCTGGAGTCTGACTCAAACTGTCCTAAGGTCAGTAAGGATTGTAGAAATAGGGTGTACAGGTCTTCTTGCAAGGTAACTAGTTTGAGCTTATTAAGGAGTCAACAGCCCAGGCAACAAACATATCTAAGGAATTCCTTCAGCTTCAAATGACAAGTTAGGGATTCAGAATACTCTCATCCATGTCTTTCCAAAAGTCTCATTGTAATTCTCAGATTATGACTTTTCTTATCAGTGTCTCTCACAAGACCCAACAAGATAGCAATTCAGCTGAGTGGCAGGATCAAATTGTGTTGGTTTTCCAGCTGTCTTGTCCTTAAAACTGAGAGAATGAAAAAGTATCTTGGGCTGGGAATGTAACTCAGTGGTTAAGTGTTTGCCTAGCATGTACAAGGTCCTGGGTTCAATCCCTGGTACCGCCAAAAAAAAATTTGCCCTTCTTACATTGGGCTGGTGCATGGCTTAAATGGTAGCATGCCTGCCTAGTAGAAGCATGAGACCTTGAGTTCAAACTCCAGTAACACCAAAAGAAAAAGTAAACATCTCACCATTTTACTCTTATTTCTAAAAATATGGCTATCATTAGGAAGGGGAATTCCCCCATGCCCAGGAAGAGGTTGCAAAGCCTGAACATCTAAAACTACAACATCAATGGACACCAATGGCTCACACCTGTAATCCTAGCTACCTGGGAGGCAGAGATCAGAAGGATCAAGGTTCAAAGCCAGCCCAGGCAAAAGTCCATGAGACCCTATCTCAAAAATACACAACACAAAAAAAGGGACTGATGGAGTGGCTTAAGTGGTAGAGCCTGCCTAGCAAGCACAAGACCCAATTCAAAACCTCAGTACTACCAAAAAAATAGATAAAAAGACATCTGTATTTGTGTACAATGCCCCATCATCCATAGCCATATGGTCCCCTTCTTTGTTGCCACTCTCTCTCACTCTGCAAGAATGAACCCCTCTTCCAGACTAAGGATTCTTTCCCAGCTCCACTGTAGATCAGATAAAGACGATGAAGTTTAAAATTTGAGTAGACTGTATCCCAAAACTACAAACTTCTCCAGCCTAGCTTTATACAATTGAAGTAAACAGAAAATTTAAGATCAGGTGGGCTGAGGAACAAAATTTACCAAATAAAACCATCTGCTAGGAAGTGGAGTATGAACTGTAACACTGGGAATTTACGTGAAACAGCACTACATAGGGTGTTTTTATAAAGCTGATGTAATCTGTAACAGTTTTCATCCTCATCCCCATTCATAGGAACTAAGGGTAAACAATATGAACTGATTCATCCAGTGGCACTTTAAAACTAACAGGTAAAAGTGCCAGGACCAGCGCGGGGCTCTAGTGGCTCACGCCTATAATCTAGGAGGCAGAGTCATGAGGGACATGGTTTGAACCCAGTCCAGGGAAATAGTTCCAAGCAGAGGATGAGCTCTCCTTAACATGAGATCTTTTTGTTTTTTTCCAGTACCAGAGTTTGAACTCAAGGCCTACACTTTGAGCCACTCCACCTGCCCGTTTTTGTGTAGTTTTTTTGAGATAAAAGAGTATGGCTGGCTTCAAACCACGATACTCCTGATCTCTGCCTCCTGAGTAGCAAGGATTACAGGCACGAGCCACTGAGGCCCGGCTTATTTTTAACTTTCTGAGGAACATCCATACTGTCTTCCGGAACAGTTATACTAATTTACTTTCCCACAGACAGACTGCAAGGGTTCTCTTTTTTCTGCACACATTCAGAAATCCTTACCTGTTTCTCTTTTTTATGAAAGCCATTCTAACAGGTATGAGGTGGTTTATAGTTTTCAATTTACAGTTCTCTGAAACTTGTGAATTTTTTCTTTATATGCTTATTGCCTGAG